ATATTACCATTCTAATATTCCTCATCTATATAACAGAGTCCATCTACTTCATTACACCAGAGTTTACCCCATATATATACGTATGTATGTGCATGTATTATGTACGTATGTACGTACACACGTACATATGTATGTATATATGTATGTATACATATATATAAATATAGGGTGTTCCAAAAATATTGGATCCTTTTCTTTCTTTTTTGCTTTTTTTTTTTTTTAGGTACGCAGTGTGTGGAGAGAGCTGTAAGTTATGCTGACTGCTATCAGAATACCTGTCGTTCTCATGAGCACGAAATTCTAAGATGGTGCCCACCAAACTAAAGAAGGCATTTTGTGCTCTGGAATGCGTGAGAGACAACATCTGTTATCACAGTTCAAGGCAACTTTGGGTGACACTGTGGACACTGGTATCTTGACATGCTCCAGATTTGGTTGAGGATGCCACAACTTGAAGAGGACTCCCGAGATTTTGTTTTCCAAACAGATGGAGCTTCAGCTCACTTCCACAATGACACAAGAGGGTCTCTGCATGAACATCTCCCACAGCGATGGATAGGTGGCACTGGTACTGATGAAAAGTGTTGTTGGGATGGCCCTGAGGTCTCCAGACATGACACCATGCCACTTCTTTTTATGGGGCTTTGTCAAAGACAGAGTCTATATCCCGCCATTGCCCCAAGATCTGATGGAGTTGTGAGAGCAGATTACAGAAGCCTTTACCGCTGTTATAAGAGACATGTTGATTTTAGTATGGGAGGAAATGAACTATCCACTAGATATCTACTGTGTCACGAAGGATGCCCATATTTGAATCTTTGTTAAGTAGGAAAAAACTATGATATATTACCTTACTTTCAGTAAATAAAAGATTCTAATATTAAATCTGGGAGTGGGGGCGAGACAATTTTTTTTGTTTTTTTGCAGAGGTGTATATATGTGTGTGTGTGCATGCATGCATGCCTGTGTACACGCACGCACAGGCAGAGCAGTGTTGACTCACCTAGAATGTCACATTCTGTAGCTCCACTGACTTTCAGAGATCTCCAAAAACCCAGATTCACAAGCTAAAGACAGAATCTAAAATCAACCCCCCCCCCCCCCCCCCCCCCCAATCTTCAGAATGTGAGGCCAACAGCTCAACTAACCACTTCCCCACATAGCCATCTTTGACATTTTACAAATGGAGCTGAAGAAGTTAATGAGGCTGTGTATATTTTTAAAGTTAAACTAGTCAGTAAAATCACAAATTGGTTCCACTACTCAGTGTTAATTAATTGTTGAACCCAATTCTTTTCAAAATGTCAAAATATAACACAATACAAAATGTTACATTTTCTTGCTTTAATGCTGATAAAAATAGGGTATAAAATATTTTTTTAATTAGCCACAAGAATGCTGTTAGCTTGAAACATTCACATGAAAAAAAAAAACAAGCAAAGCAAATTTGTATCTATCTGTAAAATTATACTTCTTTTTTTTTTTTTAAATGTGTGGGTTATAGGACAAATCTGAATACCGTAATATTTAGTACATTTTAAATATTTAGTACATTTTAAATATTTCTGAAAAATAAGGGGAGATGTTGTATAAAATGCAAATGTCGATATATTTGTACTTGTGTGAATTAATTTCTTGAGTTCACAACAGTTGTAAGTACAAACATTATTTAGTCATTCCTTTAAAAATAGATAAGGCACTTAAATTAATTTCCAGCAGATACTAGTTAAGGAAATACAATTATTTACATCCATGAAATTTAATAAAATTTGAATTTAAAAAAAAAAGATATAAACCATAGATTGCACAACTGATTACATGGCATATTTCATTTTTATTAAATAGGGTGAAATCAAGAAAGGTGAAGAAATAGAGAAATGTCTGGTTAAACAATTCGTAAGACAAAAAAGAAGACTATATATCTGACCCATCCAGTGGAGAAATCACCGGCATCATGAGAGCTTACAGAGTGGAATGGTTGGGGCAGACTGAGAGAATGTCAGATGACAGAGAAGTAAAAACTGTATACACAAGGGAGATGAATGATCGTAGACCAGGAGGCAGTCCAAGAAGACTATAGAGAGATAATATCCAGACAGACCTGCAAACACTTGATGTCACCAACTGTAAAGAGAGGGCCAACCAGAGAGATTAATGGAGGCAGGTGATATCTGCAGCAATGAACCTCAAGGGCTGGGAATGCTGAGGAAGAAGAAGAAGAATCCAATGGAGAAGCAAATAGAGAATCACTAAACAGGTATTTAAATGTGAAAGAGAATGACCGAAATAAATAAAAAGAGAGTTGAAATACTTTAGCCATATTAAAAGACATAACACTCTTTTTAAAACCACACTGAAGGGAAAGATTGAGGGCAAGAGAGAAAAAGGTGGGCAGTAAAACAAGTGGGAGAGCAACATCAAGAGATGGACGGGCAGCAGTCTGAGAGAGTGTACAACTAGGACAGGGCATGTTAGAGATTTATTGCAGCCAACCTTAACTGTGCAGATGGCACCTGACTGATTGACTGATCTAAAAGAAAACAAATGAACTAAGGAAATTAGGACATATTCAAGAAACCTTAAAATGAACCTTGACGAGAAAGATCAAAGGACTGCTGGGGGATTGGAGGGGGCGGGGGGGGGGGGGGGGGCATAAAATGCAAATGTCCAGATATTTGTACTTGTGTGAATTAATTTCTTGAGTTCAGGACAGTTGTAAGTACAACCATTATTTAGTCATTGCTAAAAAATAGATAAGGCGTTTAACTCTTTGAGTCCCAGGGGGTTTAGCATCACAGGATCAAGGGATAGTCAAGAAAGACATAAAATCGGCGCATCTTGCGTTCACTGGGCTTCTAGGTAGGAATCTATGAATGTATGACGTGTTTTTTTTTTGGGGACTTAAAGAGTTAAATTAATTTCCAGCAGACACTAGACCAGACATGCATCATGTAATTTGAACATATGTTGTTAGAACACAAACCAATAATAAGAACATTATAGTTTCAGAACTGTTATACATTGACAGGAAATTAGGTATGTCTAGAGTGCTGACAGGATTAAACAAATGTTGACCATAATTCTACAGCCACTTTGTTCTATTGCTTAAGTACAACACCAACAGTTTATTAAAATGGGAGCTGTCTGACTCCACCATCTCTTTGTTTCAACAATTAAGTAAAGCCCTACATTTTATCACAATGGGATCTTTAGGTTTCTACCATCTTCTAGTTTCAATACTTAAGTTCAGCATCTAGAGTTTATTACAATGTGATCTTTCTGGCTCTACCATCTCCTCCTAGTTCCAACACTTCAGTAAAAAGCTACAATTTGTCACAATGTGATCTTTCTGACTCTATACCATCTCCTAGTTTTAGTAGTTAAAGTATATCTGCACTTCACCATAATGTAATCTTTTTGACTCTACAACCTCCTCCTAGTTCTAGTTCCAATACTTCAGTAAAATCCTAAAATTTACCACAATGTGATCTTTCTGGCTCTATACCATCTCCTAGTTTCAACAATTAGGTAAAGCCCTACAGTTTATCACAATGTGATCTATTTGACTCCACCATCTCCTACTTTGAATACTTGTGTACAATATCTACAGTTTAACACAGTGTGATCTTTTTGACTCTACCACCTCATAGTACCAAAATTTAAGTAAAATCTGACAATTATCGTAATGTGATCTCACCAACTATAGCCACCGTATACAAGTAGATAAGTACAAAACCAACAATTTATTACAAATTCATTAACTTCATGGCAACATTGAAAATGACAAAACCAGCCTATCACCTAAGAAGGCTAATCATGACTACAAATGCCAGCAGAAGTCAGAGATGTCTGCCAAAAGACACAAATATTGCATCTCTGCTATAAAAAGGTACAATTCAGTTATGTTCACATGCACAAAATATTAGGCAAGAAAAAGAAGTCTTTACAAATATTATTTAAAGTTAGGAACAGACAATTATTTCCATCCATGAATTTTTTAAAAAAGATATTAACAAAAGATTGTACAATTGATTGCATGGCATATATCACTGTTATTAAATAGGGTGAAATCAAGAAAGGTGAAGAAATAAGAGAAATGTCTGGTTAAACACTGGTGTAAACAGTTGTAAGACAAAGAAGATAACAATATATCTGATCCATCCAGTGGAGAAGCAAAACAAGAATCACTAAACAGGTATTTAAATGGGAAAGACCACAAATGAAAAAAAGAATTACTGAAAGAAATTAAAAAAGAGAGAATTGAAATACTTTGGCCACATTAAAAGACATAACATGCTTTTAAAATTCATACTGGAGGGAAAGAGTCCACCTAAACTCCAACCTTTGTTTGGAAATTAATTAAGAATTTGTTTTGTGCCATAATTTTGCTCTTTTTGAAGAAATTTTATCATAGTTTTATCTTCATCAGTGAACACCATTTTGAAGCTGACAAATTAGCAGTCATTCGGCTGTGGTACAATGCCACCTACAGGCAGAGAAACTCACTGTGATGAGAAATTCATGACAAAATATTCAAATTCTAAAAGAAGGCGTTCTCATCAACATTTGTACCAAATTTTTAATTAATTGATTTTCCAGTGTGGGTTCCAGGGCCCTGTTATAGGGGGGAAAAAAGAATAGACCCACTGTCTACCCAAAAGCATGTCGTAAGAGTTGACTAATTGGGAGCTTCCTTTAAAGTCGGCGCACACCTGACTGAGAGGCAAGGAACCAGCAGTCTGCATACAAATGAGTCAGATCTGTAAAACAGAAGCACACGCAACACTCAGTTTCTGGAACCAGACTGCAGCCCAGAAGTAGATGAACAACCAGAATTTTCCACCAGAGTTTACAGCTGGTGAAAGCAAAGAAGAAGAAGAAGACATTAATCAATTTTTGAGAGTTATTAAATGTGTATTAAAGGGTTATTTATTAATTTTTACTTTTTCAAGGAGGGAGGACACAGTGTACATGTAACCCAATACCATCATTCCTGCAGGTCACAGCTGATCATCATGAACGTCCCCATGATCATTATCATTGTCAAAATTTAAGTAAGCCAGTTCAGGATTGTTGAAGAGTTTCTCATTAGAAATGTACCACATCTGACTAGCACTGTCCTTGATGCAATCAGAGATCAGAAGTCCAGTGTTGGCTTGTCGTCCATCCAGGCAGAGGTTGGTTTCTTGATGGACTATTTTCATATCATGTCGATACCACAGCTGGAAAAACAACAGGGTAACACATTAAGAATAGTTTTTGTTAGGGTGATATCAAGCTTAACAACCCTATCACTTCAAGAAGGCTAAACCTAGTCATTTCTGGTTGTGTCATAGCCCTGAAAAAGTCATTCATATCATCATTTCTGCAGTGACCTTTTCTCAAAAAGGTAGTTAAATCACAGATGTGTTTCCTTGAATCTCCAATAAATCTTTTTTTTTTTTTTTGTGGCCTGGTTGTCTTGAAATTTTCTCATAAACCTCAGTGATAAAGGTCACAGGGTCACAGAATGAGTCACCCAATACATTTTAGTTTTAGGACCTTGGTGAATGCACTCCATTTTATGCTTCACTGATCAGGTGATCAGGTAATTGCATTTGCAACTTCTTAGTGAACAGGTCACCCCCATAGTTCCTCTGTTCCTGTGCAGACGAAAACCATACAAGACTCTTGTGGACACACTGACACAGACTGCAGTCCTAGCAATTCCAACAACATACATTCCCATTAAATGTACAAGGCAGCATTCAGAAATGCCAGTACAAACAGTCCAACACTAGAAATACAGTTCACTGTTGATGGAAGCAGGAGCTGCACAGGAAATAAAATTGAATAAGGCAGCACAAATTCTTTGGCAACAGGCAACTTGCTATTTTCTGAATTTACAGTTCACAACATAAACTATGATTTGCACAGCTGGAAAGCATTCCAAATGAAATCGGCAGCTCATAGTGTTGCTTTTATGCACTTAGCTCAGTAGCTGGGTGAAGAAAATATATCCTTTCAGTCTATACATGGAGGAAAATGCAACAGCTAACTATTGTCAAAAATTTGCCATGACTTAAAATGGTTAACTGTCTATCTGCCATATTGACCTGAAGCAAGTACAAGTTATCCTAGCATATGAAACAAGTTCTGTTAATTAGCTCCACTGCCAGTTGAGGAAGGAAACTGCTATTTTTTTCAACCACATATTACTCTTCTTCTTAGAAACTTTATCCCCCAGTGGAGCATAGGCCCTCCTATTGCTCTAGAAGGAATGAACCTCATTAAATGAATACAAGAGAATTCCCCACCACGGAATAATCTAAATGAAAACAATAATAGCATGGGATTTCAGGACCATTATTGTCAACATTTATGTTTAGTCCTTTTCTTCTAATATGCTCAGCTCTCATCCTTTCTGCAATCATTTCTTCCTTCATTCTCATTCCCTTTCTGATGTGCCAGCTCCACACAACACTGTCTACGGCATTATGTTCCCACAAGTCCACCTCAATACCTGTGTCATTCATGTCCTGCTTGCACACAGCTTTACATCGTAGTAAACGTTTGGCCTCAACATCTTCTACCACAAACAAACTAAAGTCCTACTAAACTGCTGATTAGGCTCAAATGCCCGTTAGTCAGGTGTCAGTGTATCATAATCAGCTGAGCAGCCAACTGAATGCAAATTGTTGAGACTCAGCCTTAGACCAGGAGATTCGTTTGCAGCCTAGACAAGTAGCCTCTCCAGGACCAGAGTGTCATATGTTGGCTCTGCCTTTATGGAAGCCTCCTTGGATAGCAGGGAATGCCCATGATCTGTGCCTGCCTTTCCTTGAGGGACCAGTCTACACAGGGTTGTCCTGAATGGGTCCACTCACCTGTAGATAAAGGGACAAGAAGGACACCACACAAAAAAAGGCTTTGTTAGTCCACCCCACACAGATAAGGCTTTGTTAGTCCATCCCACACAAATAAGGTTACGCAATGTCCACCCCACACAAATAAGGCTTTGTTATGCCAACTCCACACTAATAAGGCATTGTTATGTCCACCCCACACAAATAAGGTTACCCAATGTCCACCCCACACAAATAAGGCTACACCACGTCCACCCCACATAAATAGGGCTACACCATGTCCACCCCACACAAATAAGTCTACACAATGTCCACCCCACATAAATAAGTCTACACCATGTCCACCCCACACAAATAAGGCTACACCATGTCCATACCACATAAATGAGGCTACACAATGTCCACCCCACATAAATAAGCCTACGCCATGTCCCACGAAACCAACTAGGAAGGTTAACCTGCTGAAAAATGCCTAATGAAGCCAGATATGACAGCTTAAAATTGCAAAACATTGCAGCTATGCTGTAAACTGATACTACTCAGGTATGTCACTCAGAGGAATGATGAAGAAGAAAGAGAAGAAAGAAGTATGCTATCAATGAGGTGTCCCCATATGGGATGCAATTTTTAGTTATTTTGAAGCCCACCCTGGCTTTTGCTGAGGGCCCTAAATATGGCCTAACGACTGAACAGGGTTTCCAGGACCTCTCCATGGGTGATCCTCATCTGCATGGTGGCACTTTGTGTCACTGGGTGTTTATCGCTTGTGTGATGTCCTGGTGGGGTATAACTTACATACCTACCTAGAAACATGCTGAGAGTTATTCATCAATTATTCTGCCCAGAATCAATATAGTATAGGAGGAAGTGTTTTTCCACATAAAAGATAAGTATTTTGGATATTACAAACAGACAACATATGTAAGTGGAACATTAAATTAACTCTAGAATGGGTTATAGAGAGGGGAAAAAATAAAATGCAAAAATACCAGTAAAACTAAATACTGAGAGAATGAGTGATGACAGATGACTGACAGATGAAAGGTTAATAAAAGATGACGAAATCGAAATACCTGATTCTCCATATCATTACAAAACTGCACTACCACAAAACCCTGTGTATTCATGAGGTCAGAGGTCAGACACATACCACTTGAAACAATCACACCTTTCTTTCTCCAAGACCATTCCTGCATTAAACAAATTATCATATGTCATTGCAGGCATATCAAAATCATGAAAAACGTATTATACATAATTTATTTATTTATTTGGCTGCTTCTGTTAGAAAATTACAGAATGGAGCATGACAGCATAAGAAAGTTGGTGGATATGTGTAGACTAAAATCTTGAGCATCAGAATAAAACACAGTGAACTCAGAACACATCTAAAACACTGTAACAGACATAACAAGTCTTGACTGATGAAGAGACATTGCAAATGTTGGCTGAAAAAAGATACATAGCAAATGTTGACTGCAAAAGACACATAGCAAATGCTGACTGATGAAGACACATAGCAAATGTTGACTGATGAAGACATGTAGCAAATGCTGACTGATGAAGACATGTAGCAAATGTTGCCTGATGAAGACATGTAGCAAATGCTGACTGATGAAGACATGTAGCAAATGTTGACTGATGAAGACATGTAGCAAATGCAGACTGATGAAGACACATAGCAAATGTTGACTGATGAAGACATGTAGCAAATGCTGACTGATGAAGACATGTAGCAAATGCAGACTGATGAAGACACATAGCAAATGTTGACTGATGAAGACACATAGCAAATGTTGACTGATGAAGACATGTAGCAAATGCTGACTGATGAAGACATGTAGCAAATGTTGACTGATGAAGACATGTAGCAAATGCAGACTGATGAAGACACATAGCAAATGTTGACTGATGAAGACATGTAGCAAATGCTGACTGATGAAGACACATAGCAAATGTTACTGATAAAGACACATAGCAAATGCAGACTGATGAAGACACATAGCAAATGTTGACTGATGAAGACACATAGCAAATGTTGACTGATGAAGACATGTAGCAAATGCTGACTGATGAAGACATGTAGCAAATGTTGACTGATGAAGACATGTAGCAAATGCAGACTGATAAAGACACATAGCAAATGCTGACTGATGAAGACACATAACATCAAGGAAAAGCATCCTTTATGATGCACAATTCCAGAATATTTCAAAAATCAATTTTACACAGGGAATTAATAATTTGTTAAAAACTTATTTATCTACACTTTTTTGGTGTGAAATTTGTACAGATATTTGATGAAAGTATTAAATAACCATGAACACGGGGAAGCATTAAATGGAATACATTTCCCGGTGCATAAGAAAATATCATGGATGGTGCAGATTGTTAAAGTGATCTCAGATGTGGCGAATTTCTATTGTAAAGAACACTTTGTTTATCCCTGGCAATTTTTCTTCTTTGACTTTGTAAAAAATGACCATCCAAGTGGAATCCATTTATCAGCAATCTTCACATTTGCTGAACAATTAAACATAATCTGATCTGCTTAAGGCTAACTGGTTTTTTTTGGAGGGGGGGGGGGGGGGGGGTGTTCAGATGCCTGGAAGCTTTTACAACTTTTCTGCTATTTTCAGAAATGTTGCACTTCATTTGTGTTAGAATTTGAGTTGCTTTCCCTCTTTAAAAACACAACTATTAAAACCATTCTAGAAGCAAGACCACTGTGTGTGATGGAAGAGGCTTAATTAAAATGAATCAAGAAATGTAACCTCAATTTAAAACCCAAGCCTAAGGTGGACCTAAGGGCTGAACTGCTGCGGGATTGAACTCCTTCAGGACATCCCCTGCGTCTTTCCTAGTAAGCTGGTAATACTTAGGTAATCATTACTTCCTGCACTTAAAAAACATTTTCAAATTAATTATGTACTAAAATCTAGAAAGAATCATCACCGGAGCTAGGAAGTCCGTGTTCTGTGCTTGATACCACCTTCAGCTGGCAATAGAGAGAGTGAAGATGAGGAAACAGAGAGACAAAAAGACATAGAAATAGGTTGTAGATGCATTACCATATGCTTGAACTCTTATTTGGACAAGAGGAACTTCTGATAAGAAGAACTTTTTTCTTAGATCCCTGGTAAGTTCATCTTATAAGGTCTGTGCTGTACTGGGTGACTCATGCTGTGATCCTACGACATCTATTCCTGAGATTTAAGGAAAATTCTACGGCAAACCGACTTTTTAAAAAAAGTGATTTGGCTCAAAGAAAACTCCCATAAATGCTATTTTTATATAATGTACTCATGTCCTGACTTCCTTAACAATTACATCGCAGGCACATAAAAATACCATTAGCATTAACTATGCGTCTCCTAAATAGCTCACTGTAGATAAGTAAAAAAAAGGTGACATTTATGGGGAATTAGATCTAACCAGAAGTGTTGGTTTTGCAGTTAATTTGTGGGAAAAGTATAAATACTTACTAAAAAATGGTTTAATAATAGATACTGACTTTGGGGTGTGAGTTGTTAGAGGTCCTCATATATTCTAGGCTATAACACAAAAGTTAGGGTGGCTGGTTTCAGTCCTCATCCTTTTTCCTTTCCAGATAATCTCAGAAATTATGTAAATTATCTAGTGACCCTAGTATTATACTGACCTCAGAGTCATCATCATCACCAAGTGCCTTGCCGACTAGAGTGGCCGATATGCCTCTCCACAATCTGTGATCTTCAAAAGCATGTATCAGTTCATAAGTTGACACCCCTCTATGCTATGACAAAAGGTTGTTAAGCATCATCATGCATTGTCTTCTCTGTCTTTTTTCCACAAATCTTTCCAATGGTTACAACATGTTCCAGTTACCTTCTTCTCAAACATGACCCAAAAAATTATGACTGTCTCTGTCTCTGATTTTTATGATAAGTTGTCTTTGAGCCCTCACCTTTTTCCAAAACATAGTGGGTTGCTTTTTTTTTTTTTTTTTTTGCGGCCCAAAGAATTCTACAGATTCTTCAGTAAAACCATATCTCTGAGGCCTCAAGAAACTGTTTGGCTTGTTTACTAATTGTCCAGGATTCACAACCATATGTTAAAACTGACTCTAAATAGCATGTGAGAATTAATTCTTTTTTTTTAGTGACATTGATTTATGCATAACATGTTCTTCTTTTTATAAAAAGCATTTTTAGCCTGTCCTATTCTGTCTCAGAGTTATACTGGTTAGGGGAAAGAAAAAAAATCACATAGTGTTAGAAAAATGTAATAGTAGTTTCAATGATTCCTCTTAGCAGTAATCAAGAAACAACAGAAAATGTTCAAACCTGTGAGTCTTTGTCATCTTCACAATTTCGGAGCTTGGCTACAATCGGAAGTTGACCAGGATCGAAATCAATGCAGCTGTTGCCTTGTTGGATGTGACCATAAGCAACTTCATCAGAAATCAATGGTCTGTCAAATAAAAAATGGCAATTAACCTATAAGCCACTCCATCCTTCCCCCTTCAATCTTTCTAATGCTGGTTAGTAGGGATTCATGCTGACTAAATGAACAAAAGATATAATTATTTGATATTTTATAGAATTGCATGTTATATTCTTTCTCTTACTGTTTTACCACCAATATTTCAAACACATATCTCACATGCTGGAATTCTATGTTTATAATTTTCAAGGCATGTCCTTGTCTGATGCTGGTAGAATAAGGTAAAAAAAAATTGCGGTTGTTAATTTTTTCTTACTTTTCATAGTTACTGTAGGCTATTTAAGAATTTGTGTTGTTATTACTTCTTGTTCTTGTTCTTATTCTTGTTCTTCTTCTTCTTCATCATCATCTTCTTTTTATTCTTCCCTTAAAAGGGAAGTTGGCACATTGTACCGGGGTTCATGGCTAAGTTGCATCATCTGTGCCTCTTGGTCAAACACATCAAATTTCAGCAAGCCCCTAATTAGTTGCCTGTTATGACATGTTTGTTAATGGGGCACCCCCCGCCCCCCTCCCACTTCCCCCATGGGGTTCAGTAACCATAATACAAGGATGATGCTATTTCTGGATTCTGATTTATATTTCTGTACCCAGTCTGCCATTGCCTGAAAGGATGTACTCCAATCACTAGTTCTGTGTAATATTTAATTTATTTCTATTTATTCATTTTATTTATATTAAATTTTTATATGATATATTATTTAATTTATTTAGTGTGTAGAAAGTATTACAAACTTTTGAGAACAGAGACCTATGACTGACCTTTGGGCATTTCAAAGAGGAAAACAACAGAGAATGGAGAGAGATTGAGTAACAACAATGAAATTCACAGTCTGTTTAAATCACCACTAATTATTGACACTCAATGCCTAATATACTGCAATGGTTGGGGCATGTAGAGAGAATGACAGACAACAAAGGGACAACACTACATACACAACAGAAGTGAATGGAGTAGACCATGAGGATGACCCCCAAAAAACAGAGAGGAGATCAAGTACAGCTAGACCTACAAACACTATATCACAACGTCTAGTTTGAGAATGGAGGTGGAGGCAGTCACTGCTGCCTTCCGCTGGCTTGAGAATCAGCTGTACACACATGCCGTCATTGTAACTGACTCACAGAGCATTTTGAGAAAGGTGGAGACAGGCATGCTCCGTCCAGAGTGGCAAGCATCACTTTAAAGGTACCAGGTAGTTAGCATTCTTTGGATATTTTCTCCAGGTGATGCCGACATGTTGGGAACTGAGCAGGCACATAGACTGGCCGGTTCTGCACCATTTGTTGGTGAACTCATGTATGACAAGCTAGATGTTGTGAGGGCTCTTTGGGAGTGAGTGAACAGTGCTGAGGCACAGAAAGATCATTACAGTCTGAGGAGAATGGCACTGCGAGGAGTTACATAGGGATCTGGCAGACGCTCGACACTCAAGGGAAAGGTGAGAGGGATATGCAATCAGACAGTTACTGGTACCATCAGAATTTTAATCATTTGCTTGCTGCTGAAAATGGGGACGCTGCACTTTAGGGAAGTCCCGAGTGCTGTGATGTTGATTATTAATTCAACATTCAACATTTGACACTCAGAGTCACTAATTGGGAGAAGGCCATCTCAGAGATGACCTGAGGTGAGGAATGTCTGCAGCAATGAACCTCAAAAGCTCATGATTCTGAAGTAGAAGAAGAGAATGAATGTAATAATGGTTGTCAACTGCCTGCCTATTAGAGAAGCCCAAAATGGCATTCAAAGAACAGTTTAAATATTAACATATGTAAAAGGCATCTTATGGAAAACTTTGGCTGCAAAAGCAAATAATTAAAAAGAAGTATAAAATGGAGAAACAAAATTAACAACTTATTGAACCAAGATCAAAAAAAGATCTTCCGAACAACTCATGTTTGTGTCCGCAAAATCCCTCTTATCGCCATTGCACAAGATTCATGGACCAAGACCTTTTCCATGGGTTACTGTAATTTCCAGGGGTGTCAAGATACTATGTGAAAGATGATTAGAGGCCCAACATGGCGGCTTTGCGAGTGACAGAGTGCTTATTTCATCTTTCTTGTTCTTTAGTTGCTTCTGTGCGGGTTTGATCAGAGGGTCCGGCCGGCACACTAAACTCAGAGGAAAGGCAGGACAGACATATAACCAGACTATGACTGGCACCTTTAGTATTGAAACTCTGTGCTAGCTGCTGAGAATGGGGACAGAGCGTGTATGGGAATGCCCTGAGTGCTGTGATGTTAATTCTTGACTCAACTCAACTCAACCGTGCAGGGCCGATATACATACATATACATACATATTGTGGCTTTATTTATTATAGTTTTCTTATCTATAAGATTCAAAACAGAAGATTGTCCATAATCTTTGAAATAAAAATCAAGAAACCCAGACGGCAACCAAAAAATCAATAGCTTGGTGGAGAAAATGGAGCTGTGGCAGCCATTATCTTCACACATGCCTGGAAACCACTAACAACGTTACTTTCTTGTTCTGAACACAAAATCAGTAGCAAAACAGACAGGGCATAGAGGAAGCTGCAAAAAGTTAGAACACTTGGCATGGATTGGTTGACAGCCTATTCTCCAAAGAAGGAATTGTAGTCAGTACATAAACCTACCTGTGTGAGTTCCAGGGCCTCATTTTGAGGAGGGGGGGCAGATCTCCCCCCACCCCCAGCCCTTTCCAACAACCATTTTGTAAAAGTTGACTAGTTAGGGATGTTTACTTCAAAGTCGGAGTGCAACTGCCTGAGATGTGAGAAACCAACAGTTTGCTTTCAAATAAAGGATATCTGTAAAATGGCTGTGCACTGAAAACTCAAGTTCTTGATCAAAACCAAAGTCCAGAAGTCATATACTAAAAATTAATTAATACTTAAAAAAAAATTTTTTACTCACTGTAGCTGGGGATAAATAAACGTCAGGTACCACTTGAAGTTTCGACATTTCAACTTTTCTTTCAGTTTACGCTGAAGGGTGATACTGTGGGACCAGATAAATGCTATTTTAAATGAAGACCAAATTAAAATTAGAAATAATATGAGAAAAAGGGCACAATTATAGATAATTTCATAATTCTTCACATTATCTGCTCTTGCTTTGTATACTTACATTTTTTTTAAACATTGACTACATATGTCATCATCATCAAGTGCCTTGATGACTGGCATGGGCAATCATGCCTCTCTACACTCTACGATCTGCAACTGCTTGTATTACTTCGTGTGTCGACACCCCTCAGTTCCATGACAAAAGGTGTCAAGAATCTTCTTGCACTGTCTTCTACTGTCTCTCTTTCCATAAATCTTTCCAATGGTTACAACATGTACTATTTTCCCTTTTTTATAACATCCCCAATTTATTATGGCTGTCTCTTTCTAATGTTTGTGATAAGTTATTTTCAAGCATGTGTCTCTTTCAAAACATCTGGGTTACTCTTCTTAGCTGTCCAAGGTTTATATATGTAAAGAAAAAAAAATGAAGTAATTTTCCCTGAAAAATTAAATGGAGCTGATCGGTACAACTTATTTTTTTTTTTAAAGAATTAATGTTGGGACTCAACTGATTACCCCCGTGCCCTCCCCCACCCAAAGAAAACTTACATTCTTTAGGCATGGCATGGGAAAGGGAATACAGGAGTATATTGTGACAACAGGAAAGTTACAAGATGGAGAAACCAGAGGCTGACTAATACAGAAATTGTTGAACAGTTTGGCATCATGTGGTAATGCAGTAGGCTAATTGGTCACCTGCCCTCCAAAAGATCTTGGGTTCGAATCCATATAGAGCTTGTGCGGGAAAATATGACCTTGGCTCCCAGGTCAGCACAGTATAAAATAAGTATTGTTAAATGTCCTGGAGAAGAAAAAAAGGTGGCCAGTATTATGTTGACTACATGACCCGTCAAGGACTGATTAGCCTATCAAACTGCGAGTCTAGCACTATTTGGCAGATGGGCCCGGGTATAATAAGTAATTTTTGATAACTGCTTATTTATATAATGAGTTTGAGTAGCATCTTTCTGAGCCTGAAAGAGTGCATGGTTGCATGTATTTTCTTCACAGCTTAGCCTGTCATGCCTTCCCTCTAAACTAAATATCTGTTACTGTGCTATTTGTGCATACTACTTTTGTTGACATATTGCAGGGCTATTCAACTGGCGGCCCGCGGAGGCCTAGCAAATGGCCCGCGGATCATTGCCAGTTGTATTGTAATAATGATCTTTCTATTCTAAGGTTTAGCCCTCTGGCCCGTGACGATCCTCATTTTCCAAATTATGGCCCCTCTGTTAACTTAGTTGAATAGTCCTGACATATTGTATAATAGCTTTTTGTGGCTACTTAGCCAAGCCCATATTGCCAATTTGTCTCACCTGTCGTCTCCATGTGGGATGCAATTTTTCGTTTTTTGAAGCCCCACCCTGGCTCTTGCCAGTGGCCCTGAATATAGCCAGGCCATAAATAGGGCTAACGGCTGTAAGGGGTTTCTGGGACCTCTCCACAAGTGATCCTCATCTGCATGGTGGCACTTTGTGTCACTGGGTGTTTATCGCTTGTGTGATGTCCTGGTGGGGTACAACAAAATAGAGAGAGAGCCAGGCCCATCAATGCCACTGTACAACACCAGAAACTCAAACCAGAACAGTGTCGGACAACCTGCCTACTGAAAGCACTTAGCAGTAAAAATGGTAATGACACTAATGTAGTATAAAACATTTATTATATTCAGTGCAAAGAAAAAAATAATATTAAGGACCTTGACTCACTCTGCTTTTGGCTGCATCCTGGCAGATGGCCGGACAGCAAAAAAGAATCTTTTGTAATCATCCAACCAAATTTCTGCCACTTGACGAGCACTCCTGAAATATGTAGACAATTTCTTCAGTTTACTAGCTGGTTTCATTTTTTAAAAGTTTCTTCAGATTACTAGTTGTCTGTCAGTTTTCACACATTTTTTCATCTGTACTAAACTAAAACAATAGAGCTATCAAGGAAATAACACACGACATTGTGTAAGTCACCCACAAGAATGGAGCTAGTTCTGTAATTGATATGAGAATTTATGTAGCATTGCTGAAAATGAGTAAGTCAGCATGTCTGCAATGAAGTAAATTCACAGGAAAAAAGACAAGAGAAGGCCAAGAGAAAAGATATTTGATATGACAGAGAGATATACCCACATCAAAAACGATTGCAGGTGGCAATGAAAAAGAGGATTACCAATGACGGATACAGAAAAGAGAAAATTCTGATAAACTTAATAAGAAAATATCTTTATTTATCATGATTAACTAGAAATGGCATATCAATCATAAGTATACTTAACAAATTACACACCTAATGTAGGCACTGAATGAAACTTGAGGCACTCCCATTTGCCCTTTCTTGAAATGAATAACTCCAACTTTACTGCATGGAACAATTTCTACCTGCCCTCCACATAGCCAGGCTCGAAGAGACAGCTCTGAAATAAGTTGATTTTTTTTAAATATTAGTTATTTATAACAAAAACAAGGATCTCATCAAGATAGCAAATCTGAAACAGGAAGGAGTAAAAGAACAGTTACAACAGAAAGTAGAGACAGCATTCAAACAACTTCCACGTGTAGTTGGCAATATTGAGAAAGAATGGAGTATATATAAAAACACTATGCTTAGTATTGCAGAAGAGTTATGTGGAAAACGGAAGAGTGGAAACAGACGGGGAAATAACAAATATTCACCTTGGTGGTGCGAAGAAGTAAAAGAAGCAATTAAAAAGAAAAAAGACTTATATAAACAGTGGATAAAATCAAAGACAGAAGAAGATTATATAAACTATAGACTGCAAAGGAGAGAAACCAACAGGAGTGTCAAGAAAGCAAAACAAGCATCCTGGGAACGTTTCGGTGAGTCACTAGCTGAAAATGAGAAAACAGCCAGCAGAAAATTTTTCAAAGTGGTTAAAAATATGCGGAAAAGAGATGAGAGCTACAACCCCACTGAAATAATTAATGATAAGACAGGAAGGCCATTGATAGATCCACCCGAGATTGCAGAAAGATGGAGGGAATACTTTAATGAGCTCTCTAATCCTCTAGGAGATCAGCAGGAAAGAACAACTGAAGAGCACAGAGCAACAGTGTTAGAACCACACATACTAATGAATGAAATAGAAAAAGTCATTAAACAGTCTCCCAAATATAAAGCACCAGGAGCTGATAAATTACCAACAGAAATAATTCAAACAGCAGGTGAAAGCAGCATCAGATGGCTTCACAGAATATTCAATGCAGCATGGGTACAACAAACGGCCCCTATTGATTGGCAACATGCAATAGTTATACCATTGTGGAAGAACAAAGGAAGCAAACGTGAATGCGGTCAATATCGAGGCATATCTCTTTTAAGCCATGTTGGCAAAATGTATGCCAAGATAATAGAAACAAGACTGAGACCAGTGATAGAACCACAGCTGGCAGAAGAACAGATGGGATTTAGGAGAAATAGAAGCTGCACAGATGCAATCTTCACACTTAAACAGTTAATAGAAAAGAACATTGAATACAATAAGAACTTATTTGTGGCTTTCGTAGACCAGGAGAAGGCATTTGACAGAGTCGACAGACAATTATTATGGAAAATAATGGCAAGATATGGAGTAAGCGAACACCTCATCGAAGTGTGCAAAAGTTTATACAGGGATTGTAGAAGTGTAGTTAGAATAAATCAGGGAACATCTCATCCTTTCACAGTGACATCTGGAGTAAGACAGGGGTGTGTCTTATCACCACTGCTGTTTATTACCTACATCGACAGTATATGCAAGAATGCCAAGCCCATGAATGAAGATCTTAGTAAGATCAACGAATTACTCTTTGCAGATGACCAGGCCTTGATAGCAGATACAGCCATGAAATTGCAACAACATCTAACATCCATGAATGAAGAATGTAAAACAAATAATATGAGAATCAACACTGAAAAGACAGAAGTAATGTCAATAGGAAAAAAGAAGACAGATCTAAACATAACAATAGAATACAAAGGCATTAAACAGGCATCTGAGTTTAAATATCTGGGAACTACATTTACCGAAGATGGGAAATTGGATAAAGAAATTGACATTAGATGCAGTAAAGCAAACCAAGTATTGGGACAGCTAGCCCCCCTCTTACAGCATAAGACAATCCCAATCAGCACAAAGAGACATCTTATTCAAAGCATATTTATTCCAACTCTGTGCTACCAGTGCCAGACATGGTCACTCACAACAAACCATAAAAGAAAATTAGTAACCACTGAAATGAGATGTCTGAGAAGGGCTGTAGGAGTGACCATAAGAGATAAGATCAGAAATGAGATCATAAGAGAACAAGTCGGCACAGAACCAATTCTGGATTACATACAAAGACAGCAAGTGAAATGGTTTGCCCACTTAGAGAGAATGCCTTGTGACACCATACCATACAAAGCATACATGGGAAGAGAAGAAGGACGTAGAGCACGGGGTAGACCAAGAACAAGATGGAAGGATAACATCAGAGAAACTCTACAACAGCACGATGTGCCTATGGTCGAGGCAGCCAGAAGAGCTAGAAACAGAACCTTATATCTTCCTCGACACCCAGAGCGGTAAAAGAGGAAGTGAAGAAGAAGAAGAAGAAGTTATTTATTTTAGTATTTTACCTTTTTAACATTTTAACTAGCAATGAATATTTGATGTGTCTATTTTAAAGTTCTCATCTCTTGTTAACCTAATGCCAGATATGAAGGGTGTTTAAAGGCTGTGGTTGCTGTCTTTCATTGCATTTAGTTATCTTCTTGTCTTATGTAGAAGATGTACTATGCATGGTGATTTGTACACCATCCATAACCTGAAAAAACCCCAGTTTTTCATTAGTCAAAACTACTGCCGTGGTTGGTCACTAAGGAATTAGCAGTTTCTGGGAGTCATTCATTGTTTCTTTGGGGACAAAGTAGACTTATGGACAGGATACCTTTTTCTCTGATGGTTCACAATGATACGTTGTTCCTTTTCTGTGCTCTTTTTCATTGCTACTGTTATAAACACTTTGTGGTGAGTACTGGCACATTTTGTTTTAGACAGGTTGTGGTACTAGCACCTTTTTTATGTGGAAAAATCCTTGCTATGGGTATCAGTCAATGGGTGAAGTTAGTTAATTATTTATTTAGTTGGGTTATCATCATTGTACTCCGGACATGTCCAAAGATTCTCAGATCCTCCCCAGAGTCAAGTGGCTAATAGTCCCAGTTCTGTGTTGAAAAACATGTCCTCTGATGTGCCTGGTGTGCGCCTCATTTTTTTTTTTTTTTTTTTGCTATGCCGATTCTAACTCTCAAGTCTATCATTCTGGCGAGCAGTGTGGATTCGCTGCCCCAAAGTCCTCCACCTTTCTCATTTCTTGGAGGGCATTAATAATATCATGATGATTCATAGGTTTACCGTCAGTAGTGATAGCTGGTCCAGCCAACCTGGGTGAGGTGCTCTTGCATAACTCATCTCAGACAAAACATACTCACTGTTTCTCTATTTGCCCTTTTAACTGAGGGAATTAAGAATTAGCATTACAGAATTTGGGGCGACAGACTTTCTTCAAAATGACTTTGGCTCCCAAGTCAACCAGCTTGGTACCAGACATAGTCCTGGAAAGTAAAGGTGGCTGGTGTGATACTGACCACATCACCCAAGTGCTATTTGGTATAAAAATATAGGTCTAGCCCTATATACCCAGTACACCTAAAAGCGGGAAAAGGGTGCTTTGAATCCCAGCAGAAAATCCTGGCTGTTTGTCAATTTAGACTTTGGCTTTCTTGAGTTCTGCATGTTTTTTTGTTTTACTGGCTTATCTGGGTGTTATAGTAGTAGAAGCAGCAGCAGCAGCAGTAGTAGGAGTAGTCATAGCAGTAGTAGCAGCAGTAGTAGTTGTAGCAGTAGTAGTGGTTATAGCAGCATCAGTAGCAGGAGTAGTAGCAGCAGAAGCAGTAGTAGTAGTAGCAGCATTAGTAGTAGTAAAAGCAGCAACAGCAGCAGCAGCAGTAGCAGTAGCAGTAGTAGTAGTAGTAGTAGTAGTAGTAGTAGTAGTAGTAGTAGTAGTAGTAGTAGTAGTAGTAGTAGTAGTAGTAGTAGTAGTAGTAGTAGTAGTAGTAGTAGTAGTAGTAGTAGTAGTAGTAGTAGTAGTATAGTAGAAGTAGCAGCAGCAGTAGTAGTAGTAGTAGTAAAAGCAGCAGCAGCAACAGCAGCAGTAGCAGCAGCAGCAACAGCAGCAGTGGTAGTAGTTTAAACAACAATTCCTGTTCTTCCCATTTGAGATACAATAGGTATATTTAGAGTTTCAATTTCAATAATGGATATTTATATCAATGAACTATGTTTGGTTATGCAATATTGCATAACTTGTGTAATAATTGTATAAGATTGTAGGAGTATAGATTGTCACATTCAGTGGATGTAGTAAGTTTTTACTTATCGATCCTATCTCTAGGATGACTGTAAGCATTGTTTTGTGGCATATGGTGTAGCCTTGTTTGTGTGGTGTCCTCTTTATCCCTCTTTTCTACAGGTGTTGTCCATAGAGAATCCATTCAGGGCAGCCAAGCACAAACTGGTCAGCCCTCAAGGAATGGCAAGGGTAGAACAGGGCATTCCAAGGGGCATTTATGGATACAGAATTGACACATGACTCTCTGGTCCTGGGCCCACCCAAGGATGAGGTGAAATGTAAACAATGGGGAAAATGCACATTTGTGTGCTTTGTAAATGAGGGTCCAGGGACCCTCTTAAATCAGTCTAACAATTGTTAACATTGTTGGCCTATCATTCATTTTCCCTGCAATCTATACATTATTACTCATTAAGGTGCACTAACATGTACTGATTGTGCTATGCTTATAAGCATAGACTGCCATTTTTGTGGAACCGTGTCATGTGATCACCAGAATCATGGATCAGGTTCTTGTTTTTCTCACCATCATCGACAGCATCATTATGTGCCATGCCTACAAGAGAAGGCTGTGATTTTTTTGCTATCTCACACAATCACCAAAATCATGGATCAGGTCAGGGTTATTGTTCCTACCCTGAAACTCCCCAATATTCATATGACCAAGTCATCCAGGTATTTATATCTTCGCTTGCCACTTGCATTCTTTCCAACAAAATTGCCAGTCACTACCATGTTCTCAAGTGCATTCCTTCTCATAATATGTCTGTTAGCGCAGTCAATAGGAGACTCGCTGCTTTCAAATCCAGCTGCAACTCGTGGCAGCCCACGGCCAGTGTTTGAAACTGGGCAGTTACTGGGGTTCACCCAGCCTTTAGTAAATGTGTACCAGAGTTAAAACTCTGGGGTAAATGGAGGAACGTCGCTGTAGCTACAGAGTTTTGTGCAGACGGTGACACGGGTGGACAGTTTCTTATCAGATATCCCTACTGGTGGCAGAGCACTTATGGTTTATAACCGTGTGCAATAATGCTGGTTCACATCTCCAGACTTAACCTTTTTTTTTTTTAACATGCCCACACACAAAAACACTGACCGTCTATGTTTTAATTTCTCGAACCAGTTTATGGTTTTTATGTCTCAAGGAGGACTGTCCAGTTTGTTTTTTCTTGATAAATACATGGATAACTGCAAATCCTACATGTTAATAATTATTTTGCTATGGACTGAAGATGTTAAAGCATCACTAACAAACAAACCTATATCCTCCGTCTCTTTAGCCCCTTGGGTCTGGTCATACTTTCCCAGCCAGTTAAAAAAATCCCTTCTCATTGCCAGTACACTGCCAGAAATAACAGGAGACCTGTAAAATGGACAAATAGAGAATATACTATTATTCTGTAATCTCATACAGTTCCACTGTATTTTAGTAAATCTTGGAATGTGAACAAACAAATTAGACAGGTTTTGGGACTGTGAAGATGAAGTCTGGGGACAAACAACTTATGCAGCCAGAGTAATCAAGAATTACAGCATTAAATGTCTATGGTTAGTTAGTTAGTAGACAGATTATCCTCATTGCATGTGGAACCACTCAGTCCATAAGTGCTCGGATCCCCTCCTCAGTAAATCTCACAGCATGTAGCGGCTAACGACGCCAGTTTTGTTTTGGTTTATTATTCTTTTTTGCATACCTGAGTAGTGTTCCTGTTTGGCAATACCCCGTTTAACTTGCTGTTTTTGCAGTCTGACCATGGTTGCAGATTCACAGTTCTCAATTGGTTCGCGCAAACATCTTAACTCTCTTAGAGCATTCAGTATATCAGCCTGGTCCATGGCTTCTCCGGCTTTTACAGTAGCTTTACCTGCAAGTCTATCAGCATGCTCATTTCCTTGTACCCCCACATGTTCTGGCACGAAAATGAAACAAATCCTTGTCAGCCATGAATTCTATAGAGCCACCAACCACTGCCTTCTGATCCAGCCCCTCTCTATCTTCCTCAGCATACTCATCAAATCAACGAGAAAGCATGCCCCAGTGAAAGTCTGTGTCTCTAGCCATGTTACTGCTTTAGTCACAGCCATCACCTCCGCAGTCAGACTACTTGCAGTTACGGCAAAAACTCCGGAATGGAGAAAAGTCTCTGGTTAAACACAAGCAAGGAAATCAAAATTACAATTTTGAGAGCATGCATCTTCCATGTAGCGACACACGGATGTGAGTCGTGAACTATCTCCCAGGCCTTAAGAAAGAAAATAGGAGCTTTTTGGCTGAAATGCTATAAATAGTTTCACAGAATACCATGGACAAAGAAGAGGAGAAATACTGACATTAAAAAAATATGAATGTCAAGGAAGACTGGCTAATCAACGGCATCTTCTAAAATATTTTGATCATATCAAGCGTCATGGTGGATTTTTTTTTTAAAAATAATAGCAGAAGACATGGTACAAGGAAGGAGGGGCAGAGGCGACAAATGAAGATAGGCACAGGATATAAATGACTTTTTAAATATGAATGTACATGAGGCAGGAAAACTGGCGAGAGACCGAGTTTTTTTCAGGCAGACCGTGATGAGAGCGATGTTCTGCAAAGGACCTGCTCCATTATGATGATTAATCAAGAATTATTGCCTCAAGATGATTTAAGAGGTAAGAGACATGATGTTTATTTGGTGGCAGTCAAAACTGGTGCTGTGTAACATTTCGGCAGCCTGCTCGAGTGCTAGGATCTCTGCTGTGTAAAAGAATTTACCAGTGGGTATATCTTTTGTGTGGGGGTAGCTGTCTGGGTATGTGATAAAGATGCCAGTACCCTCATTTTCAACTAAACTGGTTGCTGATCCATCTGTGTAAGCATGTATCCATAACTGTTCAGGATAGTTTTTCTGGATCATGCTGAAAGCAGCTGTTCATTTTAGAAGGTCACTGGACTCATCTCCAGCTGTGAGTCCACTGAATGAAGACATTATCTGTATTGTGTCGCTGACTTGCTCTCAAGGTATAGGGTACACAGTAGGTTTCAGCAGCGTTGTTCTCATGGGTAGATCTGCTCTGATACAGTCTGCTAAGTCTTTTTCGCCCGATGGACAGTTTCTATGTCTGAGGCACCCCAAAGATAGATCATGTAGTCTTGCTTTCATTGGGTTTGACTGCATATTATTAAACTTCTCCATCTGGATAGCAGTTGTAGTGTCTCTTCTATAGGACAATGTCTGCATTGCAGTTATTTTCTGCATCTCCAGGATTGGTGCAGTTTCCATGGATCCTGCGGTGAGTCGAAGGGCTTGTCTAATGACTGTAGATAAGAGTTAGTGGCTGACGATCAAGCTGTTGCACCAAACTTCAGGTGGTATCAACTCTTCATTATAAACTTTCTTTAAGGTTTTTACATTGGCACCCCAAGTTTTCAAAGTAGCCTGATCATCTTCTGGCTTTCTTTTCTACATTTTATATATGTTTGCTCCACCTGAGCCTTTTATCAAATGTCACTCTAAGATAAGTGGGGAAGTGTTCTTTCTTTGGCAAGGATGTTCTTAGGTGAATATTAGCTACTTTGTCCCTGGGGCAAAGAGAGAAAAGCGTTGTGGATATTTTGTCTGTGCTGATGGCATCATTAAGATATATGTGGTACCTCTTGATGAAGCAACACTTTTCTGCTCTGCAGGCCCTAAAGAGTGATTCTAGTTCTACTGCTGTGTAAGAAGGATTGGATCTATCTTAGCACGTTTCTTTGGATTTCAGTTCTCTTCAGCTTTGGCAATGAGGCCATCTTTCCACACTTTGTCGAAAGCTTGTTTGGAGTCAACCCAAACTGCCAGGACCGTTTTCTTCTCTTGGAAGACATCTTCTACAGCTTGTGACAGGTAGGTGACTTGGTCTTCTATGCTGTAACCTTATCTAAACCCAGCTTGCTCTGATACCAAGATCTGTTCAGATTCTAAGTGCCACTGCAATCTTGAATTGATAATTCTCTCCAATGTCTCTCCTACACAGCTTTTGAGACTGACTGGTTGATAGCTTGAAGCCTGGGTCTTAATTTTGCCTTTTTTTTTTTTAATCTTATTTTTTTAATTTGGTTATTGTGATGCCTTCTCTCCAAACTTGAGTCCCCAGACCTTTCTCCCAGCTGACACTGGAAATTTCTGGCAGCTTTACTTTAGCAGCTGAGCACAGATTGATCAGCCTTTCATTCCTGATTTCATCTGGACCTGCAGATTTTTTTTTTTGTAAACTTATTTTGAAGTTGACCAGGATCAAAGTGTGTGGTTATCTTGCCATGTTTCCACCTCTTCACCCCTGTTGTCAAGATGGTTATATCACCAGCTCTGTGAATGACTGTTGAAGTCTCCAGCTGCAATAAAGTTGGTATCTGGCACCAACATAGAGCTGAAACTTAATGGTTTCTCACTGGGTCAGTAGTAGTTCAGGAGGTTTAATGCTATTCTTTCTGTTTTTTTTAAGTTGTAGGAATTGGTACTCAGTTGCAATGATATCAGAAATCTTCTCACATGAATGGATACTGTTTTTCACAAGGGTAAGTGTTTCCTCTTTCCACTTGCCTTGTCAATTAGATCTGAAGCATTGAGAGCCCATCTGATCTGCTTGCAAATGGGTCTCTTGGATGCAGCACACACCAACATGCTCTTCATACAGTATGTTTTCCAGCTCTATCGTTTTTCTGTAGCCAGCCTGCTTGCTGCAGACCCCCTCTGCATTCCAGTGCATTATGACAAAAGGCAATTTGGTATCTTTTCTGTCTAACTGGTTTTCGTTAGTAACTATTCTCTGCCATCTCCTGACTCCACAAGACCAACTAGGAGGTCCTCCAGTAGCTGGGAGTGGATTCTGTTGGGGCTCAGAACCCAGCACTGACCTCCCTGGTGGAACTCCAAAGGGCAAGCACCAACATTAAAGTTGTCTGACTGTGTAGTCATATATATACTGAGGATTGCATAGTAGGATGCTTTATGATCCATTTACTGGCCCAGTATTTCTGACTTCATGATCTCTTGAGAGGGAGAGTGGGCTCATCCCCTTTACCTTGTCTGTTGTCCCATCCAGTTTCTTGCTGGATGTTTAGACCCCAAGCTTCCACTCGATTGCTGTGAAGAACATGGTCCACCACACAAAGGTGAGGTAAGCTTGAGCAAGAGAGGCTAACAGACTTTAGGAGTCTTGTATTGTGCATCATTGCTCCATTAGAAGCAGACCAAAAAGATGATGGAGAGATAATATCCAGACAGAACTATAAACACTTTGTGTCACCAACTGGAAAGAGAAGGCCAACCAGAGATTAATGGAGGTATGTATGCCTGCAGCAATGAACCTCAAGGGCTCAGAATGCTGAAGAAAAAGAAGATTTTAAACATGATGATATCTGCCCTCTGTGGCTGTATCCACAAAACTCTTGTTTTCTAGGTCAAATGGAGAGAAAAAAAGCTGTTATTTCTTTGCTCTGTTTCAATTAATATTTAAACCAACAGCCTGCATACAAATGAGCCACATCTGTAGCATGAAAAACACTAGAGCTGGATCAAGACTAAAGTTGAGAAGTGGACGAACGACTAGACCAGTCCATCAGTTTAGAGCCAGTGAATGTAAAGAAGAACTTACCTTACAGGTGTCATTGGATGTGGCCTGGCCATGTAGCTTATCGGGATGTCTTCCCAGTGGTACTGCAGACTCCAGTCAAAACCTATTGTCCAAACATCAATAAAGCAACTCAGTAATAATGTGAGTAGAAACACAAACATATTTGTCTCAAGAATTATGAATTCAAACGTCCTTATACTTATTGGCAAATTTGTACAAAAATGTCATCACCTATGAGGATAGGTAATTGATTGCCTTCTTTTTCCTTAGCATTCACTGGCTGTAAACTCTAATGGAAAGATCTGGCTGTTTATCCACTAATGAACTTTGATCATGTTCCAGAACGTGAGTTTTGCCTACGCATCACCTTTACAGATCTGGCATATTTTAATGCATGCTGTTGGTTCCTCGTCTTTGTGGCAGATGCAGTCCAACTTGGAAGGAACCTCTCCGAATTAGTTGCCTTGTATGACATGCATCTTAAGGAGGCAGTGGGAATGTAGTTTCCCCGCCCCCTCCCCTTACAAATGGGGCCCCACTACCCATATGGGAAGGCTAGTTTTTAATGACTGAGGCTTTCTATGGAATGGGGTGGCCAGCTCAAAGACCAAACCTTGACAGTCACCTAATACATCATTGTTGGTACATAAATATTATTGTTCTTTGTATCCTGTAATTCATTTTGTACCAAACAACTCACAATACATTGTTTGATTATTCCAAAGTGAATCTGACGTTCTTTGAGGTTTGAAGTTTGAAGTTTGAAAAACAGATCAACATCATAGCACATAGCTCAAGTCTGAGGCCGAAGAAGCTTAGCACAGTGCACAGGCTCTGTAGCACCAGTGAGGATCCTGAAATACTTTGGGTAGATTTTCAACTCCAAATTTTGCCCAGGCAGCGCCGTTAGGCTACCCTTTTAGATTTCCAACTGCCAAGAGATATTTTACTGGTGTCCGATCTCACTACCCAGAAACCAGGGGAAATACTGGAAGTCCAAGTCCATGTGAAAAAATCCCAGCCCTTACCGGGAATTGAACCCAGAACCTCTAGCACTTGAGGCAGACACCATGCCTCGTGACCATGCAGCACCCCTATCTGATGCTCTTGTTGTCTTCTATCACAGACATTACTCTTTTTATAACCCTTTGAATCTGAATTTGTATTTGGGCTATGCTTGGTATCCTGCAGCCAGTAGGGTTGGGATAGGCTAGTCTCTCCCGAGGGACGACAAGTGAACATCAGCAGCCTGCTGATGACCTATAGACCACCCCAGCTTTAAGTACTGTAGACTGGTAAACCATGGCTCCAAGGTCATGGGCCAACGGGGCTCTGTCTCGCCTAGGTGAATGGACTCATCTGGGTCAGTTTTTTTCTGTCCTTAACCTGCGACTGGTCTAGCAATCCAGCAGGGACTTACTTTAATCGCTCAAAGAAACAGAACAAAGCATAAACGGACTGGTTTAGGTGGCAACAAACTAGGCAATGGTAAAGAACAGAGGCCCTGGGAATCCCAATTACCCAAGCACACAAACAGGCTCTTTCCCATAAATTATAATTCATCGTGACACTACTAAGTACCAGAGGATCAAGATGAGATGAGAGGAGATGAGATGAGATGATGATGGGTATCTTAATGAAATAGTTAGACCATCAATGTCTTTTAGTGTCTCTGTTAAACTTCTTTAAACATGTATTTGTGACTTTTAAGCTCAACTCTCTTGGATAGATATAAAAAAGAACCCTTTTCCTGGACCCTAGGCGTATTTGGTATATACTGCTAGACAAAAATTTTATAGGCCAGTCGGTGCTCAGTGTGTGATGTGGTCAACATCTTTCCAGCTGCCTCTACTTCCCAGGACTTTACCTGGTACCGATTGTAAGCTGGGTAGACCTGTGCAGTCAATGTCACCGTTGAAAAAAATTCTAAGCTTGATATTGATTTCAACCCATGATCTTTGGGCATAAGGCAGGCCTCTAGCCACGACATCACGGCAACTCCCACTGAATAGACAGAGTTTAAGTAATAATTGCTTGGAACTGAAAGATTAACTTTCCAGCCCAAAAACACTGCAAACCTGGCATTCCATCTATTACTAATCCTTGAGAAGCTACTTCTCTGGCATTCCTGCATTGACCAGTACCAGAGGAGCCTTATTATTGGCACTGGTTCTGTTTTCACCAGCGCAGTGTTTTGGAGAACCAGTGTATGATCATTTTACTAAAAGTAGCATTTGTGGAGGTTTTACTGTGAAAAATAAGGGAAAATTGCTTTTTTTTTAAGCATGTTAATATCATAAATCTTGTTTACCCTTCAGTAACTGGGGTTACAAGGTGACAGTAAGAGCAAATATAATAATTTGTTTTAGACCCAAGGAACTGTAGTTGTTAAATTCTCATTGCAGTTTATGTTTAATGGTGACTCCCTTAAATTTATTACTAAAATAATGTAAGAAATGTTTAGAACTAAAGTGTTTAAAAATGTATTAGTGACCTGGGTAAAAACCATCGCCCTTTATGGAGCTAACTTTAATGAAAGAGGTAGTTGGAGATGATTTCGCAGCTGTGGAAACCACTCAGTACCTCAGGAAGAAGCGAAAACTGAAGGATTTTAAATCCAACCTGGATTACCTTCTACCTGGACTAGGTAGATGGAGATAGTCTGTGGAAACTCCACAAGGGAACTGGTGAAGAGCTAGTGAGGTATCACTGCTTGAACTGCCAACAGTAATCTCACTGGCATTAAATGTCTAAGTGTGATGTTTCTATCTTCAGTAAAAGTCACAGGTGCATCTTAGGAGTCCCGTGATTCACAATCGGGGACGTGATGTAAGTATTCACTGTCACGACATTCAAACTGAGTGCTGACCAAATCCATGGCCACTCTTTCAATGGTGGTCACTTTCTCTGCAGGCTCATCCAGAAAAACCTGAGTGGTGGGACAAATTTCTGGCAGCTGTCTTATTTGCTTACCAAGAAGGGTCGTATGCTTTAACAGGATTCATACAATAACTCTGCTGTCTGGGAGACCTGTAGCTGAACCTCTTAAAGTGATAAGAAGGTGATGGACTGACCAATGTACAGACAAGACTCTTAAGACTGTCTCACATTATGTCGAGGAGTTAGAGAGTTAGGATGGGACACAGACAATTTTTTTTTTAGGTCACCCAAACAAAAGGACCAGATGTAAAATTGAGCTATTCCTATCCAAATCATACACATCTGAAGACCTAATGTATGAGGTTCAGATATTTCTACATCAATATCTGCCATTTTACTGGCAACTTTCTGCCTTTCCAAATGATAGTGTTATACTGAGCTATAAGACGGCAAAGGAATCACAAACTATGGTGATCGCGCATTTAACTGGCAAGACTTGCTCATGTTAAGAAAATGCTTCCACAATTAGAGCATGGATTTTAAGACTATTGTTGCCTTCACATGTATTATTTAATGTGCTTTTTTTTCTCTGATGCTAAGCTCTTAACTATCTGCAATTATTTTCTCCTTTATTCCTATTTATTTCCTGATTTTTTTCCACTTCATGCAATATGTTCCTTAGCATTATTTCCCCATGAATCCACCTGAATACTTTAAACATTTATGTTCTGCTTCCACACATTTTTGTATCATAGTAAAGGCTGACCTCGTCAACTTCTACCCATCTGTATTCACTATTGCAAACGTCCTTAGGGACTCTCTCATCCTCCATCCTCCAAGTGTGACATATCTTCCTAGTCTAGCATGTTATTTCTAAAAAACACATTCTATTTGTATCCAACAAAATTTCTTCTTCTTCTTCAACATTCCGAGCCCTTGAGGTTCATTGCTGCAGATATCACCTGCCGCCACTCATCTCTCTGGTTGGCCTTCTCTCTCCAGTTGTTAACACCAAGTATTTGCAGATCTCTCTAGACATGATCTCTCCATCATCTTCTTGCTCTGACTCATGGTCTACGAACATTCAGCTCCCTTGTGTATACAGTTTTTACCTCTCTGACATTCAACTGACATTCTCCAGCCATTTCAACCTATTAGCTCTCATGATGCCAATGATAATGGTGATTTAAACAGATTATGAATTTTGTTGTTGCTTGTCACTCTCCATTTCCCTCTTTTTTAATCTTTGATAGGTCCAAAGATTCAATGTAATACTGTGTTTTCGAAAACCTGTAATAAGGCTTCATCTCTTTTAATTGTGTTTCAGAGCCATATAAAATTACTGGTCTTATCAACGTTTTAGATATTTTGATCTTGGTGTTACGAGATAGAGACTTTGACTTTAGAAGATGTTGAAGGGCATAGTATACTTGATTTCCAGATAGTATTCTAGATTGTATTTTGTCTCTCAGCATGTTGGAGAGTTTAAATCCTTTCCCTGTCTTGTTATTATCATATATTCTGTCTTAGCTTGATTGATAACTAGTCCAATTCTGTGAGCTGCTTCTTTTGAGAGAGTCAGTGTTTTTACAGTCTCTAGTTTATTTTCACCACTGACATCAATGTCATCAGCATATCCAAGTATTTTTGTAGCTTCTCCTATAGTACACTCTTGTTTCAATTTTCTTATAATTTTCTCCAGGACCAAGTTGGGGACAGAGCATCAAATGCTTCAAACCAGATGTTATTTGAAAAGGGTCTGACTTTCTGCCTTTATTTATTACTATATTACAAGTATCTTCCATACATAGTTTGGTCACATTGATTAAATTCTATGTATTCCAAAGTCATTCATAGTATTCCATAAACTGGTTCTATGTACACTATCATACATCTTTTTAAAATCCACAAAAATAGTATGTATATCTCTTCCATATTTCCAATTTTGCTCTGATATTTGCCTTAAAATGAATATCTGATCTATTGTTGATCTGTTTTGTTGAAAAACCTCTTGGTAATCTCCCAGTATGTCTTTGATGAATGGTTTTAGTCTGTTTAGCAGTACCGCCGATAGTATCTTATAGCTTGTAGATAATAGTGATATTCCTCTATAATTTTCATATTTATACTTGTCTCCTTTCTTAAAAATGGGTATTAATAATGACATTTTCCACTGATGGGGTAATTTCTCCATCTTTCAAATTAGTTTTGTTAGTTCATAGATCTTTACATGTAATGCATGACCATCTTCCTTTATAAGTTCAGCAGCAATTCCATTAACACCAGTTGCTTTATTGTTTTTAAGCCATGTTATGACATACAGTACTTCTTCAAAATCAGACACTTCAACGTTTTGTTCACAAGTTAGTATCTGAGAAAAATAAAACCTTGAAATACAATATACCTCCTCGGAACAATGTGGATACAGGAGCATACTCAAATGTCATATGGTCGATGCTGTCTAAAACTGGAGCCACTAAATTCCTTGGGCTCTGAAATATCATAAGGAGACGAGATTTAACAATGCATCAACAGCTATATTTTGCTACTACAGAGAACATTATTAATAAATTGTTAAAATGACTGGATTTTCACAAGCTAGCATAAAACATTTTAATGTGACATTGCTCACATATATTTTTTCTTCTTTCTTCTCTATCTCAGTCCCACATACTCCTTCTTCTTCTTTTTCCTCTTCTTCTTCTTCTTCTTCATCTTCTTCTTCTATTTCTTCTTCTTCTTCTATTTCTTCTTCTTCTTCTCTTTCTTTATCTTTTTTTTTTCTTTCTTCTTCTTCTTCTCCACTTCCTCCTCCTTCTTTTTCTTCCTCTTCTTCTTTCTCTGTGAAGACTAAAGACTTGTTCTCTTTGATCAACCTGGTAGCTTACATCATCATATTGTTATTTTTTATTTTTGCGGCCTAGATCTTCCATTTCCCACTTTGTGGTATAAAAGCAGCTTATAAACCTTTTTACGTCACTATATGTTATATCTATATGAAAATGATGAAATCATCCACATTTCTATGCCAGTTTATCAGCTCCTTCATTCCCAGATATTTTACCATTGTGTGTTTAAATGTATAACAAAAGTTATTGGCATTATTTAGGAAAAGTACAGAAATATAAGTATCTAGGCACATGGATAACATCAAATGGGAAATTTATCATTTAGATAAAATAAAAGAATAGGATAGGCTAAAACTGCTTTTTATCAAATGAACAACATCTTATGCAATGTCTTGGAAGTTAGAAAGAAATTATTCTTGAATGCTGCATAGAGCTAGATTTAATATATTGCTGTGAGTCATAACTTATTGGTCATGTTACGAGAAGAAGGAAACTACATGTTGTGACCACTGGAAAGATCTGTGGGAAAAGAGATAGAGGAATACAATGCAAGATTTTAAAAAACATTTTATCATAGCTAGACAAATGTCAGCACATGAACAGATACATGCCGCTGAAGATCGCAGGTTATGTCTGGAGAATCAGTGAACAACATACTTGATGATTTTACAATGAGACAGAATCCACTGTCTTACAACACTATGGATTAGTGACATAATCTATTTCAGGTCAGCTGGATGTAAACTGTTACAGATATGTATCAAAGAAAGCCAGAAAAGAACACTTTTAGTAGATTCCAACTTTGATTTCAGTTTATTGTCTGTTTTCAAGCTTGTTTAACTCAAAAGTTCCTTGGGTTTGACTTTGTTCCCTCAAGAAAGCCATTTTTCTGGCCAATATCTCACTAGTAAATCAGTTTCTTCTTCTACTTCTGCTCTTAAACAAGTTACTGGCCCATTGTGGCTGGTTTATCTCTTCCTCTTAGCCCAATACACTTAATTCCAACAAACCCTTAATTAGGCCTGTTAATTATCCCCAGTGGGTACCAGTTGGGAACCAATGCTCCAGACTTTACACTGTACACCTTTAATCCTGGATAGGCCCTGGTAACACATATATGCCAGACAACCAACAATATGGAATCCAACATTATATAGATTAAAGTGTTTGTTTTTTCTACAGTGACAAAAATATTATGTTCAAAATTATGATAGGATCAAGTTGGGAAATTTTAACAGACAAATTCACACACATAAATACAACAAATAAAACTTACTTCCATAAGTCTTAGTAGTAAAGGAGACAGCCAGTCAACATTCACTTCAGTCAAACCATCTACGAACACAAGAACATCTCCTGTGGCTCGAGCTGCAGCCTGAGTTCGTGCCACACCCCTTCCTTTACATTTTTTTTTAAAAAGACAACAATTAAATAGTCTTAAACCACAATCAAGAAAAATATGTTATATATTTATTCATCAATAGCATGTGCCTTGAGGGATGGCGTAAGCATCTAAATCTTTTTGCAAATCTCAGTCCATAATGTGGAGAAGGGAACTAGAGAATGAAGTAAAAAAGACCGGGACGACAAGGGATAAGCTGCATGCAATAGAAAAGAATAGGACGAGCTGGCAGGAGTTAGTTGAGGGCCTACGCTCCATTGGGGGAAAAAGGACATAAAAAGAAAGAAGTCCATATGTTATGAATCAGCTCTGTTAGGGATATACCTCTATGCCATCATCTTAGAAAAGTGGTCTCTAACCTTTTTCCAGTGGTGCCCTCCTCTCCCCTTGATTATTTGACAAGACTCCCTCCCCCTTTGAGTATATGGCAAGACCCCCCATGCACCCCTCCCCCCCCCCCCCACCTACTCTTGAGTATATGGCAAGACCCTCACACCCGCCCTGAGTATATGGCAAGACCCTGATGCCACCTCTCATTTTCAACATTACAAAATAGGATCAAAAAGAGGAGAAACATATTCTTAATCTTTTAATAAATGCAGGTGTTATCATATTAAATATGATTTTCAACATAAAATGTACAAACTACCCATAAAAGCAACAAAATTCCTTGGCTTTTTGTTTTATAAATCGTTGTTTAAAATATTTTATTTATAATAAAAAAAATTTTAATGTTAATATAATGGATTATTTTAAGTACAAATAAACTCAATTTTAAAAATCATGCACCCCCCCCCCCCCCCCCCAAGGTTGGAGACCACTGTATTAAATCGTCCAACAGCATCCATCTTGATGTTCCTTATTTAGCTTTTTGGATTTTTAGTCAATTTTTGGTTTCCATTATGTTTCCAACATTTGTCTTAGCCAGAGGTCTTGTGCCTCAAAGTTTTTATTAATTTCAAAAATATGTAAATTTGTTTAAAAACCTAAAAAAGCTAATTCTGTTTATTTTTTTATTTTTAGATATTAAATAGCTCTAATTCTGACAAATAATTACACACCCATTAGAGAGATCATGTGGAAGCCAAACAGATAATCCAAACAAGAAGTGAACAATCAAACAAAGTTTTGACAAGAGAGTTCATTTTGGCAAGATAATTCACAAGTGAATGAACTAATACATTACACCCCTTTTCCTAGAAGACTCAGGCATTCCTATGTAATCAAGCTCCATGTAAATCTCTAAACTGCCTTTACAATCTACAACACAAGATCCCAGCATTTTAACCACTTGGCCAGTCACTCGTCTCATATCAGTGTCTAGACATTCGCTACATTAAGTGGTTCTAATTGGATAAGACCTGCCGACCCCTCTCCTATTTTTTAAGGTTTGCTATGGACAATTGACCTTTTAATTGGTGTATATAGCAACTTCTTATTCTTAAAGTCTATGCGTTTGTAGTCATGTCTATCCGCAACCTTCTGTCTTGTATACTTTCAGTCAATTCTGATACAGATGATCCTCCATGCCATAATGTCAAACTGTCCAGCATCTTTTCTCTTGGTCTCCCTCTGCCTCTCTTCACCTCTAACTTTCCTACTGCCACAATGTACTCCAGTTTTCTCCTTCTATCCGCATGACTAAAGAATGCAGATTGTCTTTTTCTGATGTGGGCAATTGGTTCTCTTCATAAGTCGGTTTCTTTCAAAACGTATTTATTACTCTTTCTATCTGTTCAGGGTATTTTCACCATCCGTCAATAAAACCACATCTGTGCAGCTTCCAAATAATTTTTCACTAATCTGCTTACTGTCCATGATTCACTTCCATATATCAAAATAGGATTTATATAGCTTTTAAGAATTTTCTTTCTCTTTTTAACTGACAAAGAAATATTGCCTAAAATATTCTTTATTTTTGTAAAATGCTGCCTTTGCTTGAGCTATTCTGCATGTAATGTCTTTAATACATCTTCCATCTGATGTTGTCAGGGAACCTTAGTACTTAAACATATCAGCTTGCTTAAGGTTTGTACTGTTTACTTTGATGTTGCATTTCGGAGGGTCAGTTTTCTTTGTAATTACTATTACTTCTGTTTTCCTGCTGTTCAAACAAAGACCTTTGTTTTGACTTTGTTACTATTGTATCCATCATTTCTTATAGTTTCGTTTCATTTTCAGCGATCAAAACTATATTGCTAGCATATCGCAGGTTGTTAACAATATGCCCACCAACCAATTGTGGCTTTCGCGTTGCAAATGCGGTTTATAATTCTGAGGTACCCAGCGAAGTGGCAGAAGACCGCCCTGTGTTGCTTTCAACAGTGGTATCAATAGTTGGAAGCAATTGCACACTGCTGAATGTAAAATCTGCAACCGCCGAAAAATTCCCTGGTTGCTTCTGCAAAGTCCAGTAAAGCACATGCAACCAACATTTTCAATAGTCATTTTTTTTTTTTAATCTACAGCATGTCCCATAAATTTCCATACATAGGAACAATAAACACATCAATAACAACATTACAAGCACAAATCCAGCTGTGCTTAAATGTGTTCTTCAGTAATGGAGTCATGAATAAGTAAGTGCTGGAGTTCTGCTTCTTGTAATGACGCTGATGATGCATTTATTGTTCTTTTGTATGGAAACTCATTGGATACCTAGTAGATAAGAATGACTCCCAAAACAAAACAAAAAAAAAGCAGATTCTGAGTTGTTTTTTTAAACTGATATCATGGACCCCTTAAATTTGTTATGCAGATCACAAATTAGGAACCATTGAGATACATGATTATTATTAATGAGCTCTTATGAAAAATACAAAAAATACCAGTTTCCACAGAGAAGCAGTTGAGCCGTATGCAAACAGTCCTGAAGGTCGTGATCGTGAGTTTAATTTTAAACCTTACATTTGATTCACGAGTGCATATCTTTTAGAGATCAATGAGGGGGCGTGGAGTGGGGGTGGGGGGGGGAGGGACATTTTGGAACTCTTCATTTAGGTTCCAAGGCCCTATTCTGGCTGGAAACAGAATTCGCCCACTGCCCTCTAACAAACATACTGTAAAAGACAACTAATTGGGGGCGTTTCCTTCAAAGTCAGAGTGCACCTGCCTTAAAGGCAAAGAACCAACAGTCTGCATACAAATAAGCCAGGTTCTTGAACAAGATCAAAGTCCAAAAATGAATGAACAACCATAATTTTCTTTCAGAGTGTACAGCTGATTAACACTAAGAAGAAGAAAAAGAAGATTGCTGGAGTTTCATACTTTATATGATGGTCTCTTTAACTGAGCAGCCACACTGCAGAGAGACCAAGCCATTTGGGGTGAAACCAGGTGCAATGAAATTAATCCAGTCACCTTTAAACCACCTTTAAATAAATAAAATACTAAGAACATTTTTTGGGGACAATACTGTGATATAAGAAAAAAATATCAAATAATTAAGTCATACCTTGAGATTCTTTATTCCGAAAAACTTTAATTCCAGGGATCTGAGTGAGAAACTGGCTCTCTCCATCTTATTACCACATAAAAAAAATATTAAAAAAATCAAAATCACATATTACTCAAAATCACAGATTAATAAACACATCAATGATCATTAATTTTCTCAGAACAAGATGTTTGTTGGTTAACACACGCAGTCAGAAGCAGTTGTTACTCTGAAGTAATAAATTCTGTGTTTCAATTAATCCAAATAAAATCCCAGCTGAACAGAATGTGTTAAGTAATATTTTACATAACTGAATGAGGTATAAGGAATTAAGTAAATCAGTGATGCTTGCCACTCTGTACAGAGCATACCTGTCTCCACCTTTCTCAACATGCTCTGTGAGTCAGTGAGAATCACGGCATGTGTGTACAGCTGAATCTCAAACCAGCGGAAGGCAGCAGTGACTGCCTCCACCTCCATTCTCAAACTAGACGTTGTGATATCACATGCCAGGCTTTGTTACACTAAGCGACGTCCATTTCCCTTTGCTATAAACCTGCATGCACTTCGTCTGCCTCTCAACACAGGGCCATCTGTATAGATCATTTCATCACTTTGGCGGGAATAGTCTCACATTACTCATTCTCTCCACTATTTATGTTTGATCAGAGCAGACTAAAGAAACCTGACCTTCCTAGTGGCCACTCTCTGTCTGTAGCCTCTTTTAAAGCAAAACATTTGTTTTATAATAGTTATTCCTCTTTTGCTTTGAAGTCTTTTGTCTGAAGGTGTTATCTCATTCAGTATTAACTCATATGTTTACAGTTGTAAAGAAACAAAATACAAGCAGAAATGATTACTGGTAAAGCCATATTTATTTAGTCTGCTGTGATAAAATCTAAATAGTGGATAGAATATGTTATATAATGTCTGTCTAGGGTTTGTTAGGAAAACTCTATCATATACGATACACTGCTTTAGACTGAAAAGGTCAAAACTGCCTTCAAAGTACCTCTAACATATGAGGAAGGGCATTCAAAAAGTAATGACCCCAATTCTGTTTTCTTTCAGTGAATGATGAAAATAGAAAAATGTAATGATACACACCTCAGATTTGAAATGTCAGCACAGTTTGCATGAAATGGCTTTCATTCTAAAAAAAAAGAACAGCTGTATTAATCCATTATTGTATTCCCTATGTGGATTCAGAAGTCCCATTGTGGAGAAAACAAAAATATGCTGCAATTAGAGATGTGTCGGGCTGAAAGGCACAGATAATGCAGCCTAGCTGTAAACCACAACACAAGGTGCCAACCACCCTTTTAAGGATGATCACTGAAGTAGAAATAGAAAAAAAGTCTAGTCATTAATATAGCCAGGAGTGGCTGTGGGCTATAGGCACCACTCGAGACTCAGAGGGAAAGCAAGACGGGTAGTTAACCAGCAGGTGATAACTAGAACCATCAGTATGGGAACTCTTCAATGTCTGTTGAGGAGATAGATGGAGCTAATATGGACTTGTCTTGAATGTTGTGATGATGAATCTTTATCCAGTTTAATGAGATTAATAAAGTTTTTCATAAATAACATAAACTTTGAGGCAAGAAAGATGTGGTTTGTACGACAGATGTTGGGAATAATAGCACCACTGTACAAATATCAAGAAAAAGATGAAAAAACTAACCTTTTGTGTAGATATTACTCAATTTAATATGAAATATTTCTATCACTAATGTGATGACCCTGCTTTACATGGTCTCCACGTTCACAGCAGGTCAAGCAGAAAATCAGTGCAACAAACAACCGCACAAAATACTTGTGGTTGGAAAGGTAAATGAGGGAAAGTCTGAGGTTGACTCATAGTCAGTTGTGTACCAGAGTTAGAAGAAGACAGTCGTGATGTCGTAAATGTAGTCTTAATGAAGTGTAGTCAATGTTGAGTAAATGATTATTGTGGCATATTTGTGGAAGTGAACAGCGATGATTGTGATTGAATAATTGTGATGGAACAGAAGAAATAATCTGGCAGAACGTGTACCAGAATTCGCGCGGCGTTTCAGTGTTTTTAATTGTAGAAAACTGTATTTGTTCCAGAATAAACAAGTCATATTAAAAGTGACCCAGCTTTCTTACAGTTAACAAAAACTTTACAGCAACAAAATTGTGGTTTGTAAGCCAGATGTTGAGAAATAACATCATCGACAGTATAAATTTCACATGACCAACAAAAACATACAGTTACAGTCTTATCATCATCATCATAGAAATATGAAAACGTAAATAACTCACCAGGAGATGTTCCATCTTCAACAATAATGATTTCATGAATAACAGCTGGTCTGGACCTCACAAGAATACTGTTAAGGAGAGGCCATTCAAGTTTTATTGTGTTTCGCTTCAGCTTTAATAATTACATGGGCTTTGATAGCATATGGGTTTTAAAAACAAGATAAGCTTTGATAACAATATGATGTTTTATAACAAGATTTTTTTTTAATAACAAGATCAGCTTTGAAAACAAGTTAAGCTTTAGAGATAAGCTTTGATAACAAGATACGGTTTCATTTCAAGATAAGGTTCTAAAACAAGATACACTCTGAGAACAAGATGCATCTTGAAAACAAGATGCATCTTGGAAACAAGATCAGCTTTGAAAACAAGATAAGCTTTAGATAACAAGATAAGCTTTGATAACATGATCAGCTTTTATAACAAGATACAATTTGATAACAAGATCATTTTTGAAAAATAAGATATTCTTTTATAACAAGACAGACTTTAATGACCAGAGAAGCTCTGATAACAAGATAAGCTTTAATTACAAGTTAAGCTTCAATAACAAGATAAGCTTTGCTAACAAGCTTAACTCTAATAACAAGCTAATTTTTTTATTTTTATAAAAATTTAGACAATATTTTCTTTTATAACAAGAAAGGTTTTAATGACAAGATAAGCATTGATAATAAGATAACTTTGAAAACAAGATAAGTTTTGATAACAATATAAGCTTTGATAATAAGATAAGCTTTGACAACAAGATTAGCTTCAATAACAAACAATATGTAACCAAAAAGGGGCTGTGTTAGCACAGTCGACAGGAGACTCGCTTTCAAATCCAGCTGCGATTCGCTACAGCCCACATATATATATATAAATTAATGACCAAGTTAAATGTATGTCAGTTATCAGAAACATAAAAATGGTAACCATAACAAAAAATGGTTCTTTATTTTATTTGCTTTACTGTTTAATTTTCAATCAGCTTTGTCAAAATATATAAAAAAAATTTAGGTAGAGTGGTATTTGTGCCGTAGATTTTTTTTAAAGTAAGTGAAGGACCTTTTTCACACAATTGGAGCTTCAGGTATATGCTGCCTGACCCATTTTTTTATTGACCAATCAGTACTCAGATGATATGGTCAATATCCCACTGGCAAACTTTAGCTTTACTTGCCAGGACATGCTGGCATTTTTCTTTCTTTCCAGGTGATAGGTTATTTTGTTCTGAGTGGGGGTTGATGGGAACGAAGTGCCTCTTCACCAAAGCAGAAAGCCTGCTCAGTACTGTAGAGACCACATGTCATGATCTTTCTCTTGGCCTGCATTGTTTACTCTAAAGGAAATGTAACTCCAATACATTTGGAATAAAGCACACTGCAGATGCTGCTGGATCAGAAGAGCAGTGTTCTGTCTGTCTGCCTTTTGGAGCTTCCCTTCTAGCCCAGCTGCCAGCCAAGGCAAAGGGCTTGGTCTGCCCTGCCATAACATTAAGTTTTCAGGTTGCATTTCTTCTTTCTAGAATAAGGCTACTATCATAACCAAAATGTTTCTCCACCCGAATCCATTGGCGAAATGTTGGATTCAGGTTTGGTATATGTCGTCTCAACAGAGATGAGGTAGTACTGGCTACTGTTATACGATAGCTCAGTCATATCTGACCAACAGCTGACCAGAACATACCATATTTTAAGTCAACATGGGAGCCCAGGTTTACAAATAAAATCCACCTCAACGCAGATTTTGAACCCAAGACCTTTAGACCAACAGATAAACATCAGCCACTGCCTTATCATGACATACAATCAACAAAATGGCAGTGATTTTCAACATTTTTACACATTTGCTACACACCAAAACAAGGAACATTGTATTACAGCTCACCTGACAGCTAACGGAACAGAGAAACAAAAACAAATGTAGATGGCAGTTTAATTGATAAATCCAATTTTGTTTAAAGAAAAGAAAAAAGTAACATTTTACCCAATGTTTCCTCTGCTGCTGTTTATAAGCTAGAAAATCTTATTTACATGGCTAGAGCTTTAACTCTGATAGACAAAGCACAGGACTAACATTCATTTGACATGGCTGAGAAAGTCTTTTCCCATAAATAATGAGTTTAGTCAAAATCATCACATAATCAAGATGTGACCTTTCCAGTCATTTGACTTACCTGGCAATGTTTCTGAGAAGAACTGACTGATCAACCTGATGAAAGGTGATGATAATACTTGCAGACGGCAATTTCTTAAGCATATGTGATGTATTAGAATGGCAACTGCAAAAATAATTTGCATTTTATTTTTAAAATGAAGCAATAAAGTAAACTAAAATATGTGGTTCAAAAGAAATATGTGACAAAATATAGAAAAAAATAATAGCTGTTTCTTTTTCTTTTTCTTCTTCTTCTTCCTCCTCCTCCTTCTTCTTCTTGGTCTTTTTCTTCTTCTTTTTCACTTTTACTGCTTGTAAACACTTTTACTGCCTGTAAACTGGTTGAAAGTCTTAGTATCTCATCCAGTTCTAGATGCTGGTCTTCTTCCAGGACTTGAATTTTGCATGTACATCCACTTTACACAGCTGGCTTATCTGTGTGCAGACTAGTAGTTCCTTGCATCTCAGGCAGATGCACTCTGACTTCAAAGGAAACATCAATACTAACGATTTTGGACAGGCCTCTGGTTGTTAACCTGTTTCTTGGATGACCGCAGCTAAGATATAGACAGATCTTGACCAATATGAGACCTGGGCTGGTGCACGAGTGGCTCAGTATGTCTGCATCCTGGTCCAGCTGATAGCAAGAAATGAATGAAGATAATGCCAGATATGACTTCCTGTTCCTATTTTTCACATTTCCACTCTATGTTGTTGTTTGCATTCACCGACTGTAAACCACAGACCTGGTAATTTGTCAAATTTTGGGCTTTGGTTTTTTTCAGGGACCTAAGTTTGCATGTGCATTTAATTTACAGATCTGGCTTTTTTTGTATGCAGACTGTTGGCTCTTGCCTCTCTGGCAGATGCACTCCAAATTTGAAGGAAGCTACCAGTTAGTCGACTCTTAGGACATGTTTGTTGGGGAGGCAGTGTGTCTATTCCTGTTTTCCCCACAAAGGGGACCTTAGATCCACTCTGTGTCATTTTTCTGCTCATTGTTGTGGGGTAGGATTCCTGTTGCTGTTTTCCTAGATTGACTTTTTTTTGAAAACTTTTTGTTTTACCTGTTTATGTCTTTTCCTTTCCCTTTGTTGAGCTTCTTCTTATATTTGAGTTGTGATCATTTAGTTCTTTACAATTCCCATGTGGGTTTTAGGACATCATTTTGTGTGAAAAAAGAATAGAGCCACTGTCATTTATCAAACATGATAAAAGCAACTAATTATATTTGGCTGAAATGAGAAGGTTTGGGCCAAACGATGAAAATATTGATGCCTAGCTTTAAACCACAATACAATGTACGAATCATATTTTTAAGAGAGAATGCTGAAGAAGATTTCTTGACAAAACATTGAGTTTAGTAGGAAGCACAGCTACATATATAAAGACTGCGAATAGAGTTATATAAAATTCACTTTTTTATATTTCAGATTCACTGTTGGTAATACAAATTCTTTTAAAGTATATTAACTGAAAATTATTTCTTTATTCATATCCTGGATAATTATTTAAATAGACTAACAAGCAATTGCTAATAATTCTACATGGCACTAGACGAGGGCTATTCAACTGGCGGCCCGCGGGCCAAATCTGGCCCGCAGAGGCCTAGCAAGTAGCCCGCCGATCGTTGCCAAAATAGTGATATGTAGTTATTGAACGGATTTGTACGAAACACTCAGTTTCTGGAACGGGACTAGAGTCCAGAAGAAGATGTACAACCAGAACTTTCCGCTGGAGTTTACAGCGGGTTAATACAAAGAAGAATTAAAAGTGAGTATTAATTAATCATTACAGAAGATTGTAGTACACTTTACATTATAAGGGTTTACAACACTGCAACATTTATATAGGCTACGTCCTAGGCGTAATAGTTTTCGAGTGTATTAAATCCACAGATTGAAAATGTCGTCAATTGTAGTGTGGGCTCGGGCCAATGGCCCGCGACGGTCTCCATGTTCAGCATTTTGGCCCGCGAGCAAATTTAGTAGCCCTGCACTAGAGGCTCGGACACAAACAAAATATGAGGAGAGAGAGGTTGTAACAACTTCATAAATTTTCTGTAGTAAGGAGGGATCACATGGAGCCTACATCTTGTTGAGTGTGCACTAATAATTATTCAATTTTATATAGATATATATATATATATATATATATATATATATATATATAGATATATAGATATATATATATATATACACACACACACACATATATGAAATTATCAACATCATCATTAGTATTTTATTCTGATGTGCTATTATATGTCACGTAGGGCCTAAAGTCTATTTCTCTATTCTGTTCTATCCTGTGCAATCCCTTCGACATCATGGATGGAATCAAGTCCAGCACCTTTAGCCTCTCTCATTAACAATCATTTTAGGGTTTCTTTTGAATGTCCTTGCTTCCTCATTCTGTTTATTTCCTATTGTGTGACTGGCAATTCTCTGCTTATTTTTTTCTAAGTGTGTCCAACATAGCACAATCTTCTTCGTTTAATAACTGTTGTTACCAGTGGTTGCCCAGACATTTCTCTTATTTCTTTGCTTTTCCTGTTTTCATGCCATTTTATGTTCAAAATTGTCCTGAGGCATTTGCTTTCTAAGACATTTAACTATTGTTCCATGTCGTTAGCAGTTCTCCAACTTTCACTGGTATATGTAAAAACTGAAATAACATTAGAATTGAAAATACAAAACTTGGTTTTAAATCTATGCAATTTAGAGATCCCTTTTTTTTTTTGTTAAGCTTTTAAAAGTTGATGATACCTTGCCAATTTGTGTCATAACTGTTTGCTTTGTATTTCCCTGACTTAAAGTTACCATCTAAAAATAACCTTGGCTCCCAGGTCAGCCAAGCCTTGAGTGGCTCCCAGGTCAGCCAAGCCTTGAGTGGGTACCAGGAATAGTCCTGGAAAATAAAGGCGGCTGGTGTGATGCTGACCACATCACCCATGGAGTACAGATTGGTCTGTAAAATATAGGTCTAGCCCTAGATGCCTAATACGCCTGACGGCGTGATAAGGGTCTTTTACTTCAGATGTAAATCCAGAAGAAAATATTTATGAAGTTATAAATTACTGCCCAAAGTATTTTGCAGAGTCTAATGGCCTGAAGAAATACCATCAGACTGAAAAGAATTCTGTCTGATGAAGATATCAAAGGAAGCAGACCGACTGCAAGGTAAAGATTACAGAAAAATAATAATATTGTAAAGAAAAAAAAACAGAGATAAAATGTCTTTGATGAATACTAAATGTAACTAGAACAGACAAGATCAGAAATGATGATATATTAGGAAACAAGCTGGAATGGAACAAGTACTAAACTACATCAAGAAACAGCAGACCAAATGTTTTGGACATATGTCAACACTAATACCAGCTGAGTTGAGTCAAGAATTGACATCACAGCACTAGGGGCATTCCCATGCATGCTCTGTCCTCATCTTCAGCAGCCAGCGCAGAGTTCCAATAATGATGGTACTGGTCACAATTTGGTCAAATGTCTGTCTTGCCTTGCCTCTGAGTGTAGTCAGCCAGCCAGACCCTCTGGTTACACTCAGGTGCCTCATTCTCTCCAGGCCATAATAATCTTTCTCCACTGATTCTGTTGCTTGTTCCCAAAGGGCCTTGGCCACATCTGCCTTGTCATGTATCAATTCACCACCCAGTGGTGCAGATCCAGCCAATCTGTCCGCCTGTTTATTACCCACCATGCCGGCATTGCCTGGAGAAAAGATCCAAAGTATGCTCACTACACGTGACCTTCCAGTGAAGCTTGCCATTCTGCTTGAAGCATCCCTGTCTTCACCTTTCTCAGCATGCTTCCAGAGTCTGTTGCAATTACAACATGTGTACACAACAGAGAGCCCTGTAATTTAATTTAAGTGGAAGCAAAGCTAGAGGTCAACCAAGCTAGCGTTGAACAGATGGAAGATAGGAGGCCGTGGATAACAGCCTCTACGCACTATATATCAAGGTTCGCACCCGATGCCTCTTCAAAAGAACAGTACTAACGAAGAAGAATGAGAAAAATATGTTGTCAGTTCTAGGAATAATTTAAACAGGATCATTCTGGGCAAAGGAAATAAGGTGAAAGATAATGTAATCACATTTCATGGAAGGTGACAATCATTACTCTTAGAATTCATAATAGAAAGACAGAGAAAATGTGAATAAATTTGGAAAATTATTAACACTTATATTTGTACTGATTCTTAATCAATGATAATGTATGCAGTGCGATCATACCTGGGATGGCGGGTGTCAGGAATATGCCTACCCGGTCTATTAGCATAACTGTTAACAATGTGGTAGCCATACTGATGCAGGGGTTCATTCTGACCAGTAAGGGTGAGCTTCTTAGCATAGTGCAGTTCTTGTAGCAGAGAAATATCCAGATCTGCCTGCACAGAAACATTATTTTTAATCAGAATTCAAAGGTCAAAGAAAATGTAAAATTTAAATATGCATACTAGCACAATCAATCCTCATCGCGCAAAGAGGCACATAAGGCAGAGACCAACTGTGCCACTCAGTTTGATCCTGAGCATCCTCTCTATCTCCAGTTTTATCCTTCACATAGCCTTGAGTTTAGCCTCTCGGCCTGCCTCTTCCTCACTGTCCTGGTGGTGTCAATTACACTGCTTTTCTCGGCTGTTTCTCTTTCTTCATTCTGAGGAAGTGTCGAATCCACCTCCAACTTCGTTTTTTAAATTTTTAGCACACTAGCACACAACTGTTACAGTATCTTATCTCAGAGTTTTTAGAATTTCAGATGATGATTCTTACTGGCCTTGGACAGCAGGATAGTAGATGGTGTTTGCATACAAAACTGTTCCTGTAGCCCTAATTATAACTTATTTGGAAGTTGAACATGGTATATGTGCTTTGCCTTGTTGGGTTGCCATCCTTGTTGTGACTCTTTGAGTCATAGTGATGGTCCAACGTCAGGATAGCTGAGTCGCAGGGGGTGATCAAACTTTTGGGTTAGTTTCTCTCCTGGGACACAGGTGTAAACTCTCACTGCACTGTAATATCTGCACATTTGCTCAACATAGCTGATTTCTGCAAAACCCTAATTACATGCTTGTGAGGGGGTAGTATCTCTTTTCTCCCAATTGCTTATTTCTGGGGACTATACCGCCGCCGCAGAATTGCAAACTTCCGGCGACTTCCGCCACCGTTGAGAGTATTCCTCACACAGCGTGTCCCCCACGCCGCTCACGCGGCATGGACTGGGGCTAAACTAGATGGCTAGGACTCACAAGCAAATAAAATGAAGGCAGCTGCAGGAAATGCGGTAGCTGCTGCTCGTGAGTCCCAGCCATCTAGTTTAGTTCCAATCCTTGCCGTGTGAGCGGCGTGGGGGATACTCTCGGCGGTGGCGGAAGTCGCCAGAAGTGCGCAATTGACACGAGGCTGAGGCCCTGTTAGGGTATATTTTCTGCCTCGATAATTTGGGACCGTTATTCGGAAGATAGCCTGTATGTGTATTGATATATTTACACACACACACACATAAGTAGGGTGAAACAGTAACTTATAAAATTACCACTACTACTAAATACTACTTACTACTACTACTAATACTACTTACTACTCTACTACTACTCTAATACTAGTACTACTACTCTACTACTACTACTCTACTACTACTGCTACTCTACTACTACTATCACTACTCTACTACTACTGCTACTCTACTACTTCTTTACTACTGCTACTATCACTACTACTACTGCTACTCTACTACTTCTTTACTACTGCTACTATCACTACTACTTACTACTACTACTCTACTACTACTGCTGCAATTACTTCTGCTGCTGCTGTTATTTAACCAAAACCCCAACCAAGTTCAAATGTACCACTCTGTGCTCTAATTACTTTATTTAAAATTCCACATTAAACTGAGAAACTTACAGGCATATTTCGAGACAATAAGTTCCAGATAATATGCCACAAGATGTAGACGCCGCTAAAAAGGCATAGTAAAACACTGAAAGACAAACACCGTTTCTTTCTTGTCATTGTAATATTATTACTATTCTAGTTTAATAATTTACTTAAACGGCGTCAGTGAATGGATCATGTCTGCGCGTGTGGTTTCTTAAAGAACGACCAAAACAGAAGTGACTGTTGTGACACATCGAGTACACGTTGTTCTTAAATATGTGGCACACAACACCGTTTCGTACAGGTGACACGGCAGAAGAAAGAGTGAGTACTGGAAGCAACTGTGCTCACTCCGCTAACTTGGCCACGGGGTAGATTTGTGTTCGCTTAAGAAAAGCGCGGAGTTGGCAACGTGTTGTTACTAAATCTACCGCGATAAAGTACTGAAGTAGAAGTTGGCCCGGCTGGCAAGCGTAGTTGGTTAAACCTGACTTCGAGGCGACCGGGTGACAATCTCCTTGTGGTCGGGGTCCACGCCCAGGGGTTTGTCGAAAAGCCACATTTCTCCCAGATTTACGGTATCCATCGTGGAATCAAGGCCGAAGGGTTGCGATATCCATAGTACCGAGCCAAAGGGTTAAGTCTGGTGAGGCTGATACTTGGGGGGGGGGGGAGGAAGGGGGGTTGACGAGAGGGGCTATCCTCCCAACTAAGGTCCCAAATTATCGAGGCCGAAAATAAACCCTAACAGGGCCTCAGTCACATGTAAATTTCGAACTTCCGGTCACTTAAATTACGGACATCCGTCGACTACCGCCACCGCGCGGCGTGGAGCAGGGCTAAACTAGATGGCTGGGACTCACGAGTAGCAGCTACCGCATCTCCTGCAGCTTCCTTCATTTTATTTGCTCGTGAGTCCCAGCCATCTAGTTTAGCCTCGCTCTACGCAGCGCGTAGCGGTGTGGGAGATACTCTCTCGGCGGTGGCGGTAGTCGCCGAAGTCCGCAATTTACATGTGACTGAGGCCTTGTTAAGGTATATTCACGGGCTCGATAATTTGGGACCGTCATTAATCTCACCGTTCAAATAGCTTGACGCTTCTGTTATATTTAAGGTCGGTTTCTTTGTTGATCTGTTTTAAATTCTTTTTTCTTTGTGTTGTTCTCTGACACCTGATTTTTTCCCCCTTGATCTTTATTATGGCATGGTCCGAATTCCGTGCTACTGACACAAGCTACCTCAATACCACTGACTTTTCCAAGAAAAACCTAGTGTTTTTTTTTTTTAATACGTGGTGCAGAAGTAGAAATAACAAGGAAGTAAAAACTGGAATGCTTCATAAAACTTAAAGTGAGGTCAAATGAGTGAGAATGTATGATATCTTGCTAGGATGAGAGAGAAGGAACCCTGGTTCTAGTGGGGTGGGGTATTCGGCGATGTGTTACCCTCAGATGACTTGGTCAAGACCGTCTCCAGCTTGGTCTTGGTTCCAATTCCAATTCCTTTTAAGAAAAAATGAAAAACTCAACCACGTTCAACCTGCTGCTAGTTAGCCGAAGTTGCTAATAGTCTCCGGCTATATTTGTGATCTTGTTCATTTGCGCCACTTTCGTGGCTAAAGTTCTGGTATTTGGGACGTCTCTGAGCTTAATTCCAAGCGTATTTCGTAGGAGCGCGAGCTTCTCAGCATGATGTTCCTTGAACCAACATTTATAGTTTTTAAATGTTGAGTATTTCACTTTGCCATAAAGTACTGAAAACAGTTTTTGGTTTTGGATAGGTTCGAAATGGGAAAATATTCCACGCGTGATCATAATGATCTTATAGTTGTCTTTGTCACACACCGCTCGAGTCTCGTGCCTGTTTTTAGGTTTTCTCCTCAAGAACCATCAGCACTCTGAAATAGAATAATGTTGAGGTGTCAGCTCGTATTGGTCTAAAGGGTATCCCGTGGCCAATATAAACCCAACCTATTTCAGGAGTAGGGCAACTCAAGCTATAGCACTACAGAATATATAATATTCCTAGGCTCAACTTGGCTGGACGTCCCCGCTACTACAAAAAGATAGCCCCCAGGCTATGATAATGTAATATCACAGCCATGTTAACACAGATTAAGATTAATGGTTACACATACATATACTCTAGACAGTTTTGAACAGTGAATGATGGACACTCAAGTCAATAATGAAAACTTCTAAAGACATGTAATAAATGCAACACATATATATCATTTTAAAAAAAGCAAAGATATTCAAGAGCAACTGGAATAATGAGATCAAAACCAACGCAACACTGACGGATCTCCGAAAACTCCTAGAGACAGTCTATGGTCATCATAGTGACTCTGAGTGGACCTGTAAATAGAGCACAGAGTCTTGCTACTTATCTAGTTCCAGTTGGCGTCACTGCACTCATCGGTTCATGATGACCTGAACAGGCTAATTCTTGTGGAAATGTTCACTTTGCTGGTTGCTTTGGTAAACACAGTCACAAACAGAGTTCATTCACTGGAGCCCAACAAGCTCATGAAGAAGGTTCTCTTTGATTAATGACGGGTCTATATTTGAAATGTGACCTTCCCGCTAGGGGCGTTAACGTCACGAATAGTCTAATGTGTAGGGGTTTTTATAAGGAGTAGAAAATTATAGGGAAGAGAAAAAGTTGGTAAGAAACAACAATTAGTTTATGTTAGCTTCACAATAAACAAACAAAGGACGTTGCGGCGATTAGCCTTCATCAGCACATAAAGGACAACACAGTACACATACACAAATAGGCTCTAACTATGAAGTGACTTCATAGGACTCTAATGTATAGAATAAATGATACTCATCTAGTGTCCCTGACGAAAAAACTTCGTTCAATGAAATGACGGTCAGCCTAAATACCTCCAACGCGCAGGTAGGGGCAAAAAAAAAAAGGGACGGGTTTGACGCCAACAGGGTACACTGAGTGTCTAAGGAGGGAGGGAGGGAGGGGTTTGGCCTATAGGGGGTAACCGGGGTTGGGTTGTGGGGATGACATTAGTCCATCCGCATGGAATTAAAGTGGTGCCTGTGCTTGCAAACAAATATCGACAGACAGACCGACAGATCAGATAGATAGATAGATAGATAGATAGATAGATAGATAGATAGATAGATAGATAGATAGCATAGATAGATAGATAGATAGATAGATAGATAGATAGATAGATAGATAGATAGATAGATAGATAGATAGATAGATAGATAGATAGATAGATAGATAGATAGATAGATAGATAGATAGATAGATAGATAGATAGATAGATAGATAGATAGATAGATAGATAGATAGATAGATAGATAGATAGATAGTATAGATAGATAGATAGATAGATAGATAGATAGATAGATAGATAGATAGATAGATAGATAGATAGATAGATAGATAGATAGATAGATAGATAGATAGATAGATAGATAGATAGATAGATAGATAGATAGATAGATAGATAGATAGATAGATAGATTAGATAGATAGATGGGTTTGATCACTCCACGACACTCTTCCTGCAATAATAACGGGTTAATCATGTCATGGAGACGTGTGTGAAATGTTAAGTGAAGCCTCACAGTGATTCTATACGTCATTTGTTAAAGTGTGGTCCGATTGTGTTGGTAACTAGGCTCCGGTGTACGTAAATACCAGATCCCTGAAATACGCATCAAGTCACTAGTCTTTACCATCGTACCATTGAAAGGGGGAGGGGTGGAATTGGTGGTTAGGTACTCTGGTCCTGTCAGTATCGATCCGTTTGCCTTCCCTATTTGCTGTAAATCGTATCCTTTTTTGAGTCCCACCAGTCATGTTAATGTGATGCGGAGTAAGTTGATTATAAGTATGAATACCCGGGGTATATGGATGTAAACCATCAAGTGAATGCAAACATACACCCGATCATCCATACACTCACACAACATTACATGTTTGCACTTCCTTTCACACATATCCATGCATGCATAACCATATTGATACATACCTGTTTGACATTTCCCACACTTGCGTTCTTTTTCATACCTGCCTATCAGTGTAATCATTCACCCACTTACATTCAGGTAAACATGTTCATCCACCCGTAGAGGCATATACACTTCCTCATTTATTCACATATCAGTATCTACATCCGTGTTTCATACTTACTAAAGTGATGCTCACACAGACTGTGCCACTATTGTGACGATTATCGTGTATGCCCTTTAGTGTCATTAGTGTGTCAATATTGTTTGTTCGTGTCAAGTAAATGGTTAGGTCTAGCTCTTTGACCTGACCTGTCCGTTATGTTCCTAGCACGTTCTGATGGGTGATGTGGATGGGAAGTTATGATGGGTTTCTTGCTTGAGTACGCTCCTCATTACACTTGTTCTCACTAATTTATAGGTTCGTACGAGTTCACACGTGTATATGTACCCGTTCATCCTGTAATCCTTTGCAAACATATCTTTTATGGATCCCCATAGTGTATGATTGCACACAACCAGGTGTGAGCATTCGTACATCCAAGTCTTCAGATCCACACGGTGGGTGGTTATGGGTTATATCCTGGAGATATGTCTAGGTGCAGCGGATGACCAGGGCGTTCTACGTGCCTCGCTATGCTCTATGCGCTCCACAGCGCTTTGCTAGTGTAGCCGTCTTGCCCGTTGAACCAAATATGGTTTCCTCCGCACATTCTGGCGACATTAGTCTTTGCATGCTTAGATAGGCAGACCCTAACTCACCGATGTTAAAGCATCAGCTACCCTCACCTGGTTTTGCCGGCTTGTCAAAGCCGTTGCGCGTGGGGTGGCTGCTGTCGCATGCTGACAGCTGCGTTTATTTTAAGTAGATACTGTTTAACAAGTTTTTGTATTTCTCTTTTGCTGTCCACACGTAAACACTTGTTTACAGGAATCTGCTGGTTACGGTTTTAAAAGTATTCTCCAATAGGTTTTCTCCTCAGTTTGTATTTAAGACAATTTATTATATAATGTTACCAGATTACTGAATTATCCTGAAAGCAGTCCAGGCATAAGGTAGATGTGAATTTCTTTGATGCCACCCGAGTCAAACTCTCCATAATAGTTCGTTAGCTGGAATTTCCAGGTTGTCCATTATCTGTGTGTTTAGGC